CCCTTCGCCGCAGCCTTACCACATCCCCATCCACATCACAACAACATCCGCACCCGCACCCGCACCGCATCATCAGCATCAGCATCAACACCATCAGCATCCGCACCATCAACACCCACATCATCCACCGCCCTTCACGAATGGTGGTCCTCCGCCTCCTCCACCATCCCTTCCACCGCCACACCAATACCCCTATGGGCCAATTGCGCCCCACCCATCCGGCGCAAATACACCATACCCTGGCCCGGGTCCAGGCCCGTCTACACCCGGCGCAGGCGCAGGCCCCGCTCCTGGCCCTAGCCCCATGCACTTCTCCCCGCCACCACCTCCTTCACGCACACCCCTTCCGGGCTCTCATCCACCCCGAATGTTCCCCGTCGACAGGCCCGTTCAACCAAAACCAAACCTCTCTTCTCCCTCCGCCGCACGAAGAAGTTTGGACCCCCACCAGCCGCAACCACCTCAATCTCAGAGTCAAGCTGAACCCTCGCCCACGGCAGGCCCAACTGCTACTCCATCACGACCCCGATCAGAGAGTATGGGTCGTCAAGGTTCCATGGGCAGTATGCAACCGCAATCAGCACCAACATCTGGTTCAGCAGCAAGTGCGAGTCCATCATTGAAAAACTTACTTCTTTAATTTCCCTCCTGCCCCCGGCCCCGTTTTCATTTGCTTTTCCTTTTTCCTGTTTATCATGTCTAGCTCCAGGCGTTCACGTTTATGCATTTCCTTTTACCAGCTGTTCTCATTACAACATTTATATCTTATCATATTATATCATACCATTCATCATATTTCTTTACCTTGACTTTCTTACTTGCTTGACGGAGCAAACGTCCCAGGCGGCCCTCTCATGTACCCTATTCCTCCCATTCCATTTATCTACATTACCACCTTCAACTTGCATGCGATACCACCAAAAACCGCCTTCCCCAACATTCATACCCCCTAATACCCCTACTATGTAATTCACTTATTCTGATCGACTTGCCTGCCTTGTTCCATCTCATTGCTTCTATTAACTGAGTCAGCGGTTAGAGTTATTGCCGTGATACTAATAGGCAACTTGCTAGCTCTGACTATGGCTATGGCGAAACTGGATAATGGGCTATCATGGGGTTTCTTTTGCTGAAAAGGAAAAAATATTGATAGATTTATTTGATTATATTTTACTTTTTATTATTCTACTCTTAGAGATTTGTTGATCAACTCCGAGGGAGTTCAGAGGGATTGGGAACAGATATGAAGGATTGGAGTCGCCTTTCTTGCTTTTATATTATTTTTTACATACACACACACTCTCTCTCTTACATGTCGCTAAAAAAGGGAACGTGATCTGTACCCAATAAAAGAGTATAATATATTTACTTGACAGATTCATTTGAAGGTTATTAATGCCCATGGTATGGCTACATGTGGACGTCCGCCGTTTGACTCAAAGCTAGTGCAGAAACTCCGGCTTGGCATCGCGAGCTTACTTCAACCTCCAGCTCTGGCATAGATAAACCGTGCCTGGACCAACAGCGCTATTGCTCTAACATCCCCATCCTCCGCACCCGGTAGCTATCAAAAAAGTCAGTAAGTCGCCAGAGAATCAATTTCTAGCTATCGGAGAATTTGTTAGCTAACGCACATCGAGTTATACAGCTCACCAAGCAACGGCGAAATAATTGCTGCCTGCATAACATTGCGTTACGTGCCAACATACCTACTCACCCACACCTTTATACATGCGATTACATACCAAGCCTAGCTATAAGCTATACTGAAGTTCCGAATCGCCACTGTTATAAGCGTACGAGTGTTTCCCCACAACTCGAGATACAACCCATTTCGAAGCGATGATCATATAAACCCACAGCGCAACCGATGGGCCCTACGATTGAAGGGAGTGACAATGAACCACAGGACGATGAGCTAGACTTGCGCGACCCTGGCTCTGATGTCGATGTCGGTGCTAATGCTGATATAGATGAGCAGGATAAGAGTGAGCTCGTTGGTACGGGGGAGGATGAAGATACTCCTGCGCCTGAAGGAGATGGCCAGATACACGATGACGATCTTGGTTCCATCTCAAGTAATCGTGACATGTCTGCGGCAGAAGTGGGGGCTTCAGGCTCGGTATCTGATGGGGGCGAGGGGCGGTCGCGGCAGCGTTCAAGAGAGCGGACTCATGATAGCGTAGAGGATTTGAGATCAATACCGGACGATACACCGTCTGTTCAGGTACGCATGATCACTTTACACAGAGCTAAACGCAGGAGATCAGTACTCTGATATATCTCTATAGGACTCACTCGTCTCCTCACCGGGAAGCAGCGCATCTGCGCATCGCGGGTCGTCTTCAAACCTAAGTCCCGTCCCCCACCGTCCATTCGATCGAAGATTCCAATCTAAACTCTCTGTCTCTTCGATACCGCCTAGCAATCGCTCAGTCTCTCCAGCACTTAGTCTCGCACATTCTCGAAACTCATCTCTGGCTAGTCACCTTCGTTTTGACAGTAGTACCCCCGAACTACTGGAGGAAGATCCAGAACCAGCGCCGTGGGAAGTTGTTCGGTGGACAAAATTGAAGAAAATATCTGGTCAGTTATTTTCTGAAGTTGGTAAGAGGAATTTTGGCAGACCGACCTGCACTGCTGTGTCTACGTCGATTGTGCTAGGGACAACCAAGGGTATCATCTTGGTCTTTGACTATCAGCAGAATCTAAAGTCTATTATTGGACCTGGGACAAAAGGTGAGCTTAAACTGATGATTACTTTCTCTTCCTTTCTTAGTATCAGCTAATTGATTTCTCTCTAGCTGTTTCGTCGGGTTCGATCACCGCTTTAGCCATCTCTGCTGACCACTCAACGCTGGCTGGAGGTCATGCGGATGGAACTATCTTCACCTGGGAAATTGCGCGGCCCGCACGGCCCTTTCTGCATATACCACCAATACCCAGGGACCAGCTTGACTCACGTCGAGCTGATGGCCATGTTACTGGTGTGTCCGTAATTCACATCGGATTTTTGGGGACCAGACACACTGCTCTTGTTTCCGCCGATGATAACGGAATGGCCTTCTCACACCTTGCAACTAGAGGAATGGGAGCTGTAGGACGGGTAGTAAGAACTACACGTATTTTAGGCCGGTACCCCGAGCTATCTCCGTCTTCCGTTGTCCGGAAACCTAGCTCCGTCCTCGCATTTTCTCCTCTTCCTCTAGGAAATGTCGACCAACCAACTGACTCATTAGGGCTAGTTGCGATGCTTACACCATATTTATTGGTGATTGTTTCCACCACACCCGTTGCTAGAACTCAGTATAAATCTGGACGGCCCAAAGAACTTGCTGCGCACAGTGCATTGACGGCGACATTGGCATGGTTCCCAGCTATAAAGCTTAAGGGAAAGGACTCAGAAGTATCCAAGACGAAACTCGTGTACTGCTGGTCAAACGTGCTCACAATATTGGATGTTGATGAAAACAAACAAACAGACGACAGTGACAAGGATAGGCCTGTCAGCCTCAGGTTCAAACCACGATGTAGGTGGAGGGCAGACGAAGCTATTGTTGCTGTGCAGTGGATAAGTCGTTCAGTCCTTGCTGTGATGACAATTACTCAGCAGCTCCTTATTTTGGAAGATAACTCTCTACGGGTCACCGATTCATCAGACTTGATTCATAAACACATTTATCACGTTGATCTGTTTTCAAGACAACTCCACACGCTCATCGAGCAACTCAATGATGATGACGATTACAATAATGAGCAAGACCAATCTATGCACGGTGTGATTGCTGATGCGTTCTATATGAGTTTTCGAGCATACAAAGGCCGCCTGTTCCTACTAGGATTCAACGATATCTGCGTAGGCAGTCTGTCAAATTGGGCCGATAGATTGTTAGCATTGGTCGAAAGTGGTGATTTTATCGGGGCCATCCGACTTGCTGCGTCGTTTTATACTGGACGTTCCGAGAAACTAACTGTCGGGCTTCCTGAAGAAGATGAATTACGACACCAAGTCGTACAGGAAAAATTGCTTGAAATGATGTCCGCCTCCCTCCGTTTTGCCTTTGGGAAAAATGCCGAGTCAGATATTGAGCGTCTTCAAAATTCACAGTTAAGTGACTTGGCTGATGCGTGTATATTTGCTTGCGAAGCTATGGACAACAATGAGTTCCTATTTGATGATGTCTACCCCTGGTATGAGGAATATGAAGCCTATGGGGTTTTCATGGATGCGTTGGAACCATATATTATCAAGGGCAGTGTGCGAGCCCTCCCGCCAACAGCCGTGAAATCCTTGATATCGCATTTCGTAACAACACATACTGCCAGCCGACTCGAAGAAATCATCTGCCTCCTAGAAACAGACACGATGGACATAGACCAAGTGACAAGCTTATGCAAAAAACATAATCTTTACGATGCGTTCATATACGTTTGGAACCGTGCTTTGCACGATTACATCAGTCCTCTTCAGGAATTACTCAACCTCATACGCAAGCACAAGACGGAATCAGATACCGATCAAGATCCAGAGGTAATAGCAAAAGACCATGCCAATGCATCAAGGATGTTTTCCTACCTATCTTACATTCTTACGTCTCGTGTATACCCAACTGGCGATGAACTGGAAGAGCGTGAAGCTTTATCCGCTAAAAACGAAATATATAAACTCTTGTTTTCAGGGAAGCCTGGCCGTGGTGATGAGCATGGGAATGGTTCGTCACCTTTCCAAAGCCTTCGAACGATGCTCGAATTTGATACGCCAAGTTTTATGAGCATGCTAAACGAAGCATTTGAAGATAGTTTTCTCAACGACCCAGTTGATCAGTGGAATAAAGGCGAGCATGCAAAATCAGCTGATGGTTCTTTTATAAATCGTCAATATCTACTAAGGATCCTGCTCGAAGTCATGGACTCGAATTCTTCCAATTTCGGCCCTAGTGACACTATCTACCTTGACATGTTTATTGCTCGAAATCTCCCCAAATACCCCCAGTATATACTCCTCTCCGGCTCAACCCTACAACAAGTTCTGGTTAGGCTCTGCCAGTATCCCAGTATCGAAATGCTTGACGATTGCCAACTGTCTGCAGAATATCTGTTATCGACATATCGCCCTCCTGATATACAAGCCTTGATCCACTTGTTCAAGGAGGCAAAGTTCTTCCGAATTCTGAAATCAACATATAGAACCGAGAAGAGATATTCGGATTTGCTACGAACATATATCGCAGACCCAGAAGATCAACAGCATGTGTTTGTCTGCATCCGCGATTATTTACGGCCAAGTTCTTCCCTTAATAAGAAGCAGCGTCGAGATCTCCTGACCACAATGGAAGAGATTGCAAAGGACTTAGCTTCTATAAATATATATAAAACTGCGTATACTGTTCAGTCATTGGCTCCCGAGTTACACGAGAAATTCCTCCAAGCACTACAAAACGACTCTACCAGCCAATACGAATATTTGCATACGATCATTGAAGATGAGCAGAAACCCAGAACAGACACCAAATCTGCGGATACTGTTAGCCATGAGCTTATTGAGAAATATCTCCAATTGATGTGCCAATATAACCCTTCGCACGTTGCCGATTTTATTAATTTGACTCAGGCGGGGGATCTTCAGCTTGAAGCTGTTATCCCTTACATCGAGAACAGCGGCATCGTGGACGCTGCAGTAATTCTTCTTGCAAAACAAGGGGAAGTTACCAATGCCATGGAAAGACTGAGAAGGCATCTCTCGACGTTAGAAGCCAGCCTATCTGGCCTTCTGCAGAATGCTGACGATACCCCTGACTCAGCAAATGCAGCTGAAGCTGTGACCGACCTAATTCTCTCGGTTGAGAAATATACCCAGGTCGGCACGTGGCTTTGCAAAGAACAAAGCAAGGCTGCAAGACGGGTCCACGAGGGAGGCAAATTCAATAAAAGGGGAAGCTCGGTCTTTGAACAACCTCTGACATATGATGAGAATCTGTGGCTTGTTCTTATCGAAGCTGTCGTGAAGATTGCTCAACAAATTTCTCCTCTACTAAGGCGTGGGCTGCTTGAAGATGATAGCAAGGGAGCAAGAGAAGCCTGGCAGGTGGAGGCTGACGAAGATGACGAGGACGCCAACCAGCCTGGCCATCTGTCGTCATCCTTCAAGTCACTAGTTCAGCAAGTTTTCACATCCTTACTGACTAGCACAACAAAGGCCAGACACGCGCCACATCAAAAGACGGATGTATCATTCCTTCGCATACTTCGTGCATTCCTCACTCGAGCTGCGGCGGCATCCCCGTCACTATCCGAGCTTCGAACTGTGATTGGATCCATATTCTCTGCGTATACGTACGAAGAATCCTTATTACACCTTGCTAATACGATGCTTGACAAGGACCTATTCGTCCACGTGAACGAAATCACTAAGCTTCGACAAAAGGGCTGGAGACCGCGTGGTCAGGTCTGTGAGGTATGCAGACGGCGTGTATGGGGCCCTGGTACTGGGGCATACATATGGGATGCCTGGGAAAATGAGTGGGATCAGCAACACAGACGGAGACGAAATCAACTTCCTGATAGTGACGGGGATTATGAGAAAGACATAAACGTCTCTTCAAGGAACAAAGGTAAAGGGATCGCTGTTTCCTCGGCTCCTACATCCAGCCTAACGCAGAACGGGCCCTCTTCACAGAGAGAAAAAATGGCCGCAGTGCCTGCTGATGACAGTGGAACAAGCATCAGCGGAGGTGGGCCATCTCAAGCAACTGGCGCAGCCTCTACAGGTACTACTCCTGCAGTTCCCGTAGACCTTGGTCCACTCATTGTGTTCGGGTGTAGGCATTTATATCATCAGTCCTGTCTCACTGAGGCTGTGGCTCAGCATTACGGCGGCGATAATACTCCCCCCTCGATACCCACTGAGCCAACCTTCCATCGTAATATTCACGAGCGAATTGAACCGCGGCAGTTTTCATGTTTACTGTGTAAATAGCTGCTGTTATGCATCTTTATTTTGCCATTGCCGTACTTTCCCTCCCTTCCTTGGCCAGAGAGCGATATAGAAATCACAGTATATTACTTTGAAACAGGACCTTTACTCTATGAAATGATGCTGTGTAGAACAGTGACTAAGAGGGAGAGAAGAAAATTTTCAAAGTTGATTGATACCATGGACTTTGAATCCCAGGGCGTCTAGGTATTATCAGTGAGTCACCTTGAACTTGAAAGCTGCGCCAGAGGATTGATCATCCTGAGGTTGATGCTGAGTGGAGCCGATAAAGCCTGGTCTAAGGCTGGCAATTGGGGATAATCAACCGGCGGAAATTTGGGAAATTTGGGGAGCCCGCAGGCTTCCATTCTTGATAAATTGTTCTTCCGCAAAGAGCGCGGCGCCTTGAGTGACTAGTTGGTTACCTTTCAAGAGACCGATGGATAGACCTACACAAATCGACGAGCGGTTATTGGGTCGTTGGAGCATTATTGCATCCTGCTTGTACATCGATGACACTAAAATAAAAGCCATCAATGTTCGGAAGCCTAGAATTATTTGATTTGATGCGCTGGGCTCGTTCTTCGAGGTCTGCGGCTTCAACAATACATTTTTATGACTGCTATGGCAGAAGGGTTTTATGGATCTTACAAGACATCTGGGGAGCAAAGCACCAGCGCCTTGGTGGCCACTTGGGGGCTATTACATGGAATCTCTGCTATTATTAGATATCATGCTTGATTCATGGGGAACGAGGATGCAATTGCCTCTAAGTGGGCCATCATTGGAAATTATCACTCGTTCGGTATTGAATATCTCATGTAACTGGCATTCACGGAATCTTTAGGTGTAACATAGCAGGACTGCTGCAGGTTGGGATTCACCCGCGGGCTTTGAAGTCCGAGTGAGTGTCATATCTTAACACAAAGTATCCATGATAATGTGCGTATCCTTATAGCTGGGGCCTCCTTAAACTGAAGGAAATTGCATTTTTTTTTTTTTTTTTTTTTTTTTTTTTCAGCCTGAGCGGTCATAGTTACAGTATTCTTGTAGCAAGGCACATGCTTATTATCCTCACAGCGGATATCCCCTACTTTTTGCAGTATGGGTAACTGGAGTCGACGATGATATCAGATCGAGAGTCCCCAAGTTGCCGGCGTGTGTTGATTCTATTGGTTAGGCATGCTATCCAATGAAGTGAGAGCAGCGAGGTGAGCATATTAGTCATACGTTGAATTTCAGTTGCTTATCAACAGCAGTTTCCTTACATAATACAAATACAGGATATCTGATTGGATAAGCGAGCCAGCCAATAACAGGACGTAGAAAGAGGCCTCGACGATTGTCCTCAAGAGTCGAGACGACGACGACGACGACGTCTGGCCAAAGAACCATCGAACCATCGAACTATCAACGAGCGAGCGAGGGAGAACGGGATACTCTGGCAGGTTATAAATGTCTCATCAGCCTCGGTGGAACAATACCAGGGCGCATTATCAGTGAGGAATGTGCGAAGGGCGAATCGGGAGACATTGAGACCGGCGTCTCTCCCGACAGGGGGATCCTCAGTTGATGGATGGCTCACCCCGGCCTGCTTGCTGCACTGGCGCCGAGAGGACAGCGGTTGTGCCTGGGCTGCAGCCGGCCAATCTGAGAGTACGGCCTTTGATTCGATAGCTGACGACGCAGCTTCAGGGGCCATAACCCATCGTCCTGACACACCAAGCCCCTCAGAACGGTTTCGTCCGTGGCCGCTCGACATGTCCCGCGCGGATGCGATGTGTGCGCTGGCAAGTCCTGGAGCCAATTTCCCCTTCATCTATGCTAGTCAGCCTGGTGTTTGGGCGATCTGGTTGGGTGGATGATCAGCTCTTGCCTGGCCCACAGCGGTATTATAGTTAGCGCTGAGCAAGCAGCGGCAACGTTAGTACGCGCATGGCTCCGTACTCCATATACACTAGATAACAGAGAATCTGGAGTATTGTATACTCTGTAAGTAGCGAACAACCGTCCAGGCCTCCCGAGAACCGACAAGACTGTTCTCTTCCTTGCCCTTCTTTGGCGCCCGCTCTGGACTGTGGACCATCATGCTGCAGCACCAGGCACTGGGCCTGTTCCGCCCTGCGGTTCAAGCCAGGGGATACGGCCATTTTTGACACTCAGCCCATGTGTGTTGTATACGCCGGCCCCCTCGATGGCGAATCTGAAAATAGACCACGGCCCAAGAGAAAGTTTTATTCACCTTTTCGCGTCTTGACGTATCAGAGGCCCTTTTCTTTTGAGCGTGGGAGAAATATTATAAGCTGGCTGGGCTGGCCTTCGTTGTGCTTCTTCCGCTTGCTTTCTGTCCTCTTTGCTTCTAAACTCTTACGCTCCTTGATATTCAATTTTTCCGCTTATTCTTCTTCTGTCTCTCCCTTATTATTGTGCTATTGTTTTGAATAAGAAGACCCCTCTGGCAGGATCAAGTCTTCGTTCTGAAACTATCTACATTCTTTTCTTTCAGATTCCATATATAAGAAAATTGGAGCTTCCTCTTTTAAAATATACCCTGCATTCACTCCCAAGCATTTATATATCCTGAGATTTCCACTCTCTCCCACAGAAACATCCGGACCTTTTTTTGTTTGTTTCGTATTATTCTTTTTTTTTTTCCTCCATTTTTTCCATTTCCTAAATATTCTATGATCAACATGCGTACTACCGGGTTGCTGCTACTGGGTGCGTTGGCAGAGCTGGGTTCTGCTACATACATCCTCGAGGATGACTACCAGCCAAACACCTGGTTTGACCAGTTCAGGTTCTTTTCTGTGTGTGATACCCCCTGGATAGAGTCGGTTTTGACGTACTTGTATACTAACGATATGTGATGTAGGCGAAAGATCCAACCCATGCATATGTCAACTACCTCGACCAGGCGGAGGCTCGCAGCCAGAACTTGATCGGCATCCGGAACAACGCTGTCTATCTAGGTGTCGATCACAAGAACGTTGCAACGGGGGAGGGCCGAAGCTCTGTTCGCCTCGAGACAAAGAAGGTATATAATCATGGGCTGATCGTTGCTGATATCAACCATATGCCTGGAGGAGAGTGCGGGACGTGGCCTGCCTTGTAAGTTTCACACTTACCACACACATCCTATGCACACGAACTAAGCCAAACGGTGATTATAGCTGGACTACCTCTTCTGTCTGGCCAAATGAGGGTGAGCTCGATATAATCGAAGGTGTCAACCAACAGAAACAAAATGACTACGCTCTTCACACTGCTCAGGGGTGCAGCATCCCCGAGCGGGGAGACTTCACCGGAAGTGTTGTCACACCTAACTGCGACGTTAAGGCTCTCGGTCAAGCTGAAAACCAGGGCTGTCTAGTCGAAGATACCAAGGGCTCCCGAGGATACGGACCCGATTTCAACAACGCTACAGGTGGTGTCTTTGCTACTGAATGGACCGACCAGGCCATCTCTATCTGGTTCTTTCCCCGTGGAGATGTCCCCAAAGATGTCAACAGCGAGCACCCCGACCCATCCAAATGGGGGAAGCCCTCTGCCTTTTTCGGCGGCGGAGAGTGTCCCATTGGAAAACATGTTCGCAATCAAAGAATCGTAAGTTGATGTCTATGTCTTGCTTATGGTGCAGAGCTAACAATATCACCTAGATCTTTAACACTGCATTTTGCGGAGGCTGGGCTGATGGAATGTGGCCCGGTGACCCCATCTGCTCAAAGAAAGCACCTACTTGCATGGAATACGTCCGTGAAAATCCATCCGCTTTCGAGGACGCATACTGGTCAATCAACTACATGAAGGTATACCAACAGGGAACTGCTCCAACCAAGCCTAGCCAGGCCCCTGCACCTCCATTCTCGACCTCTACCATGCCCATCATGAAGTCTACTTCAACCGTCTCTTCCATCGTCTCTGCCACTCAGCCTGCTCCTACTGCCAACAACCCTACAGGAGCGCCCATGCAGCCCTCTAGCTCCTCCGGTAACAATGGCCCTCAACCCACCGGCGAAAACGGAAACCCAGGCAACTCCTGTCCTCCACCAACTCAACCTGCCTGCCGCACTTACGTTACCACCAAGACTTACACCCTCGTAAGCACCATGATGCCATCCGGTCCACAGACTACAGGTGGCATTGTCCCTGTCCCATCCGCAGCCTTGGAAGATATCAAGGACACTGCTCAACGTCGACGACGACGGGATATGGAACGTCATGCCAGACGCGGCCACCATAACTAAGCATATGCACACCAATTGCAAGATTTTGTATTCTCTGTTCTATAAGCGCCTGAATTTTTTCCTTTTTTTTTTTTTTTTTTTTTTTTCTACCAAGATTTGTCCTCGGATTTTCTATCTTACTGTCTCTGAAGTGCAGAAATGGTATGTGTGTGTGGAGGGAAAGGAGCTGGAAATAATCAGGGTACGGTAAGCAGAAAGCAGGACTTTCTTTTATCTTCAGCAACGTTACTTAGCTATTGGTGAATATCATTCTTGAAACCCGTGTGACAATACTCGGTATACCAATAACTAGTCAACTATATGAATTATTGAAATTACCACTGGCTTGTTAATTCGGCTTCATAATTTTTCTTTGATCTAGTTACGGGCCACAAAAACTTCTTCCCCTAAACCCCCTCCCGCTCCTAACCTGAACTCCTCCACGCCTCTTTTGACTTTGATTATTGTTTCTACTGTATAGGTCTTACTTCTATTACACTCCATCTCTATAAGTATTTTTAGCAATCATATCATTAAAGGAGCTAGAGGAGAGGACTAAAGGAGAGTAGACCAGGTATGTATATATAAGTTTTGAATCAAAACATTTCTGAGAGTATGGCGCATAGATTCCGCCGTTGTATTAAACAAATTCAAGAAGCCACGGAACGCCGGATACCATCGAAAAGCTTTTATTACAATTTTTTATTAGCAGGTGAGCGTATCACCCAGTAAAGCCAAGTTCGTCCCTCCGATCATCAGTCAGCCGACCCCATTCCAGCAATAAACGGAAGAGATATATCTCCATATCCTCCTTTCTAAGCGATTCTTCAGCCCATTTCCTACCCTCCCTTGCAATAATTCTGCCTTCTCGATGATGAGGCTTCATCAGAACTTTAGTGACCTTTCCAGCTTCATCCACCGTTCTCACTCCGGCAAAATACCCCAATGTGCTCCAGAAGTCATGAAATCTAATATCCTGCGGTACAAAGTGAAGCCATGGCATTATCCTTGTGTCAAACCATTGTCGGAAAATTGCAGTTCGGAAGGGGAGACAGTTGCTCTGTAGGAAGGGTAGAAAGCGGCCGCTAAAGCCGGCACCGTCCAGGTCAAATAGAAAACGGTGTCTCCAATGCTCATCGAACTGCACTCTGTTGGTGATTCCCAGCTCACGTCTTTGAATACTGCAATCTTTTCCACCACATCGAGCTACGTCCTCGGCAATACCGATTGACACATTCGCACCGATGGATTGGGAGATTGCGGAGGGGGAAAAGGTGTAGTATGAATATATGCCCTCAGTCCGCCGTGGAAGTAGGACAGAGACAGGGTTAGTGTTATTATTGGCCAGGTGTAAAAGTCGCTGGCGAGCCATTCCTTGCCATTCCCCTGTTTCACTGAAGCCTTCTGATGTTGTTCCCCTCCAGAATATCGTGTTTTCCTTGTCTTCGTAGCATGGATCAGGATTTTCGTCCGAAGGATTATATCTCGCTTTTTCCAGGTAGTTCCACGCACTTGGGTATAATACGTCGTTAAACCCGAACACTTTGCTTTGGCTAAATACCGGGAGCAGCTTTCGAGACACCTTGAATGCGCTCGGCGCTATGAAGAATCCGTGTAAATCTGCCAAATCAGGCTGGTGGCAGATGTCGCCAGATAGTATCCAGTCTTGCAAAAATTGATCCATGGAGTGTGGTTCAGCACAAGATGTACATAGCGTATCATGCTTCCATTGATACTGTGTTCGAGCAGCTGAGCTTGGCGGACACGACTCGCTCACAATGGTATGAAACGTATCTTGTCTAGACTTCTCTGTAAAATGGGAGTGCATCAATCGGTCATTAGCGCGACTGAGGGCCCAAGATAATGATCGATCTTTGGACCAAACATGGCTCATGGGATAATCTCTAGAAGAGAGGTTTTTTTTTGCCGCGTGATTGATTTCTTGAATGGTATCCCACGGAACTGAAACACGGCATTCATCATTCAAATTAAATGCAATGTCCATATCAGGTAGGTATTGCGCAAAGGGAGTAATCATCAGGACAATTCCCTCTATCATCCATCTGTGTGTGGGTATTATACCTGGCTGGGCCTCAGCGACACCATTGCGTACCACGACAGTGGCTATGTCATTCCACTGGCTACTTGCCATAGAGTTAGTAAGATGCCTCAATGTACTTGGTGCAAGAGTACGGAATGGTAGGAGATCCTGATGTATTTGATCGAAGTTATCAATAATTATTGACGACCTGTTAGTAGCGTATTCGTACCACACGCCGAACCCCCTGTATAAAGCGTTAGTCACAAATGTATGAAGTTTCGTAGTTAAGTAATTTGGGGACCCAACGTACGGTGGAGGCAGAAAGCCATAACGCTCCGTATATTCGCTTACAGCTCCCTGGAGATCAATGCTGTACCTTGCTTCAGCAAGCCATTGAGCATGTAACTGTCTTCCCTGGATCATTAAAGCATTTATGGGGTGACTAGAAATATTTTCACCGCCTAAAGTAATGTAAATGATAGCTACAACCAAGGAAGTCAACAAGAAAAGTGTGTAGATCAATACCGATGCTAGATCGGAGAGAGGAACGAGCTGATCTAAATCCACTGGGCCACTTCGGTTGAAAGGCCTGAGGTAATCAACGAGAAATGTATGCCCGCCGTATAAAACGGCCACACTATGAAACAGTATAGCTGCTAATATCCCTGCCACAAACGAAACCGGTGGGCGATAGCCCGGAAATGGTGCGATATGCGAGTGAAGGGTATAGCCTGTAGCTAACATTGATATCACAAATAAAGGGCTAAATACCCTAGTGCTTTGAAGCTATAGACACGAATAATATCAGTATACGGTTTAATGGCGGAAAAAGTTAGGAAGCCATGAAACGAAACCGAGATACAAAACAGGAAGCGGGGATTGTGGCATACCCATTTCGACGCGGATATGATAGATATAGACACCAATAGGGACTGTAAAATTATCATACCAAAATTAGAAAATATGTCTGTGGAAAATAACGGCTCCTCCTTTGGTGTTGAGAGGAGATATGCCCCAGTCTTTCCAATTGCCCATGAAACTGTTGTTCCCTGGAGTATATATTAGCGAAGATTATAGTAAGATCCCTGTACAGCTTTCGTCAAAGTACCAGTAGAAGTAATCCCCATTTCGTTGTAAATGGCAAGCTGGGCCCACTTGACTGACGTGTAGGCATGTTAGCTAGCTTTTCTGCCATTATTACGATGACAGAGTCTATCATAGCTGCTAATATCTCTAGCCAAAGCAGAACCTGGCGCTCACTGGTAACAATAGGGCAGATGATGGATGATTTCCAACCACTTTGTACTGGCCTTATAGCCAGCCAGGCTATAACTAGCGCAGTGGATATGCAAAATTGACTGACTAGCTCCCAAGCACTGTTACCTTGCTCATAACTGCTTTTCCGTTTCGACCACTTGAATTTCCAAAATTCATATACCGAGATCATGAGTGGTAGGAGAACCTGATTAAAAATTAGTATTCGGTACAAGGTTTTGGGGTTCCATTTTAATTAACGTACAACCTCGGGCAGAGATGAACACCGTGTATGTTTGATAATGTATTCATATAGCTCGACCCGAAACCATAGAAGCGTCATTATGGGTAAAAATTTCTTCATTTGTCGTACTAGCACACGCCGATGGGCCGAACAGTCCGAGTAGGATAAGGTAGGTCTCGGTAAAGGCACTCTTTCATCTTCCAACCTAAGATTTGATTGTATTCTAGAGGTTAGGGAGCTTGTCACTAATAGTATAATGCCAGAAATGAACAAGATAATGGCGAGGGATCCTGATGATAGACCTGTGACACATCAAAGATTAATAAAGGCAGGCAAAATTGGACTCTGGCTATAGCGACTCACGGTAAGGAGGTGATGCGCTTGACCAAACGAGCAACCATAGAACAGTAATACTGAATGTCCTGGTACAAATGTAAGTTCGAGAAGGTCACCATGATAATAGTAGTGAATATTACTTACCAAGCAGCTATCTCAGGTATTTCCGTTGCGGCTCTATAAAAAGAGATAAGAAACTCCCCATCCCTTCCGTCTTCCCCAGCATTAGCATCAGCATTATCATTACCAACATGAACGGAATTTGGAGGCGCCGGTGGATAGACCAGGCAACTCATAGTTGCTGATCGATTAACAGATTAAATAATGGTCTGGTGGTAAAAGTTGACCATGGCTCTAGAAATGATGTCTTCGGGGTACCTTCATGTTTTGAAGCATTGAGGCATATCTCATTCTGCGAACAGATTCTTGTCTTTATATGTGACAAGTGACGCATTCGTAATCAAGTCTTGTGTGACGACATAATCACAACTTGGGTTTAACGATAAGATTCGGGGCGGGAGGCCCATTATTTGGACGGAGACACAACGAAATCACAACACTTCAGAAACATAAATCACTATCAAGGGCTGCTTATGCATTGTATTGACTTCATAATTATGGAGTCTGGCCATGACTGATTTCTTCCTCAGTCCTCATCCAGAAGTGGAATAGGTCTGTGTCGGTGGCGCTGTACTGCCCTGCTCCCAATACTGACCAGAGACAACAAATAGTAATTAAGAGCAGCAGCATATAAGATGATACAAAATACTAAATAAATAATTGGGATGATTTACTGACACATGGCCGTTGAAAGTCTCCGCGTTGCTCTTATGTCATTTCGATATGTCGTTCAGGGTAAGCCGCCAGAATTGACGATCTTACTTTGACGAAGTGTTAAAGGCTAAATTAAAAACAATTATTGGCTATCTAAGCGCTACCCATCGCTTAAGCAGCACGTGAATTTTGTGGCGTCTAGGTCACGTGACATCATTTAAGGGCGGTGAGAAGCGACAGAAAATCAAGGTTTTGAAAGTGTACCCTAATAAGCTTTTTTATTATTTTTTTAAAAGAATTGCTTGGGATGAAGATTCAAATCAACACTGTTTGAGCAATTCTACGGGCTGCGTCCTAGACGTTTGCATTTTGACCAGGCTTGCGTTGTTAACATGCTCTAGGATAATTTGCGCTCTTACGACCAATCTAACACGGCAGTATTCACTCCTTAACTGCTCAATTCAAGAGCTATCCTGTCGCAATGCCACGAAAGGCCCTTGACTCGCGGATTCCAGCGCTAATTCGGAACGGAATCCAGGAGAAGAAACGGAGTTTCTTCGTTGTTGTTGGAGATCGGGCCAAAGATGTCATCGTTCACCTTCATTATATCATGTCGAGCGTCGACGTTAAACAGAATAAGTCAGTACTATGGGCGTATAAAAAGGACTTGCTCGGTTTTACAACTCATCGCAAGAAGAGAGAGATGAAGATAAAGAAGGAAATAAAGCGAGGAATACGCGATCCAAATACCGATGACCCCTTTGAACTGTTTATAACCCTCAATCAGATCCGATACGTGTATTACAAGGAGACTGAAAAGATTCTCGGAAATACATATGGGATGTGTATACTGCAGGATTTCGAGGCCTTGACGCCAAATTTACTCGCACGAACAGTGGAGACAGTTGAGGGTGGTGGCATAGTCATCCTTCTTTTAAAGGGCATGAAGAGCTTGAAACAATTGTACACGCTATCCATGGACATACACTCGAGGTATCGAACAGAGGCTCATGATGATGTCGTGGCTCGTTTCAATGAACGTTTTATCTTGTCACTTGGCAGTTGCAACACATGTCTTGTGGTTGATGATGAATTAAATGTACTTCCTATTTCTGGAGGAAAAGCAGTCGCTCCGTTACCGCCCGTTGATCCTGAGGAGGAAGCCAAATCTCCTAGCAAAAAGGAGCTACAGTCTATTAAGACGGAACTAGAAGACACTCAGCCAGTCGGGGCATTGGTGAAACTGGCCAAAACTGTTGATCAGGCGAAGGCACTCCTAACATTTGTGGATGCCATCGCGGAGAAGACATTGCGCAGTACCGTCACCTTAACTGCCGCTCGTGGACGTGGAAAATCAGCAGCTCTAGGCGTGGCAATCTCCGCTGCTATTGCTCATGGATATAGTAACATTTTTATTACCTCCCCAAGCCCGGAGAATTTAAAGACCCTTTTTGAGTTCGTTTTCAAAGGCTTCGATGAATTGGGATACCTTGATCATGTTGACTACACGATCCTTCAGTCAACTAATCCAGATTTCAATAAAGCAATTGTTAGGGTCAATGTCCACAGACAGCACAGGCAGACTATACAGTATATCCAACCGCAGGATGCTTTTGCCTTGGGACAGGCCGAATTGTTGGTCATTGATGAAGCCGCAGCAATCCCTCTGCCGTTGGTACGCAAGCTGATGGGTCCTTACCTTGTCTTTATGGCTTCGACAATCAATGGTTACGAAGGTACTGGACGATCCCTTTCTCTGAAGCTGATACAGCAACTGCGAGAACAGTCAAGGGGAGGGGCCAAAGTTAATGGCGTCGACAATACCGATATCACTGACCGAGCCACCGGCAAGCCAGCAAGAAAAGAGCGAGGTTCTCATCCAGGTGGTCGAACTTTACGCGAGATAACTCTGTCAGAGCCAATCCGATATGCCCAAGGAGACTCTGTTGAAAAATGGCTTAACAAACTCTTATGCCTTGACGCGACTTTGCCAAAATCTAAATTAAATACTCAGGGATGCCCTCACCCATCCCAATGCCAATTGCTCCATGTTAACCGTGATACACTCTTTTCTTTCCATCCAGTTGCCGAAAAGTTCCTCCACCAGATGATGGCTTTGTATGTTGCCAGTCATTACAAGAATACTCCCAATGATCTTCAACTCATGAGTGATGCACCGGCCCATCAACTTTACGTCTTGGTACCACCTGTTGATGAGAATGCAACAAAGCTGCCTGAGCCACTATGTGTCATCCAGGTTGCTCTAGAGGGCCAGATAAGTAAACAAAGCGTATTGAACAGCTTAAGCCGTGGCCAGAGAGCAGGTGGTGATCTTATTCCTTGGCTTGTCAGCCAACAATTCCAGGATGAGGATTTCGCTGGACTATCTGGAGCACGAATTGTACGAATCGCCACTAATCCCGACTACATTGGGATGGGATATGGGTCTCGTGCTTTGGAGTTGCTTATCGACTTCTTCGAGGGCAAGTTTGCTAGCTTATCAGAGGACGAGAACCCAGCCTCCGAGGAAATGGTTCGTGTGACCGATGCTGAATTGGAGGAGTCCAATCTTCTGGATGACAATGTCCATGTCAGGGATATCCAGTCAATGCCTCCACTCTTTGGGAAGCTCTCTGAGCGACGTCCTGGCTCCCTTGACTACGTTGGCGTGAGTTTTGGCTTGACACAGCCTCTACATAAGTTTTGGAAGAAGTCTCAGTTCGCTCCTGTCTATCTAAGACAGACTCCGAACGACCTTACCGGAGAGCATTCTTGTGTAATGATCCGGACTCTTTCGACTGGATCCAATGATGCTTCTTGGCTTGGAGCCTTTGTGTCAGATTTCCATAAACGCTTCCAATCATTGTTGTCATATCAATTTCGTGAATTTCCATCAGTCATGTCTTTGAGCATGAGCGAGTCAGCCACTGCAGTATCGAAATCTGACCCGTCTCTTAAGCCATCTCCCGTCACGAAGGCAGACATCGACGTCGTCTTTTCTCCTTTCGACCTTAAACGACTCGATAGTTATGCGAATAACCTATTAGACTACCATGTTATCCTCGACTTAGTTCCGGCAATAGCATCACTCTACTTCTCTGGGCGCTTGACCCCGGGAGTCAATCTCTCAGGTGTCCAACAAACTATCCTTCTGGCCACCGGTTTACAGCGCAAGACCTTCGATGACGTAGAGAAGGAACTCAAGGTTGCTGCAACCCAGCTTATGGCGATGTTCATTAAGATAATGAGAAAAGTGTCCACACATTTCCGCTCCGTTCTCGAAGGAGCTGTTGCAGACACAATGCCTACAACGAACAAAGTCATAACTCAGAGGGAGACAACCGATGCTCATGATGATAAGATCACTGAAGACCGCTTTCGTCCGCTTGATGTTGACCTGCAAGATGAGTTAAAGGAGGGTGGGCGAGAGATAAATGCTGAACTACGAGAAAAGCAGAGAGCTTTAATTGATGCTCTTCCATTGAATCAGTATGTATACTATCTCGACGTGGATCATTGGACTGTTTATACTAATGATGATATAGATATGAGATCGAGCACGGAGCTGCAGGTTGGGAGGAAGCTGAAAAGCAGATTCTCACATCGTCATCCAAAGATGGCAACATTAAGACAGTCAGTGTTAAGTCTTCTGCTAAGCGGAAGGTCGGTGAGACTGCAAGGGATATCTATGAGAAGGAGATTGGTAGCAAAGAGAGGAAGAAAATCAAAAAGGGTACCGAGGGGCGAAGAAGGGATTGATTGATCAATATGTTCATTACGTAGAAATGCGTTTTTAGATAATAATTGTAAATAGCATAAAATATGGCGTTCTGTTCTGGCTCAACAAATCTATCGCAGCTGCAGGTATGCTTTATTCCTGGAATGTATACTTACGGCTATTTATTCATGGAGGGCGTACTTATCAATGTATTGGCTTTGAATTATTTAAATGATAATAATAACGCTAATTCTCTTACAATAACAGATACATCTGGCCTGCTGCTTAAGTACCAGCTACGCTTAGTAAAAACCACAGTAACTCCATAGCTGCAAGAACATCAAATCCCTCATAACTCCTCGTGTCCTTGCTGCTGAGCTTCCTTGGAATCCTGGATTTGTTCTTGTTCGGGCTCTGGCTCTGGAGCTGTCTCATGGACCTTGTCCTTAGTTTCCTCTGGAGTCTCCTCAGACTTGGCAGGTTTTTGAGCTGCATCCACGATTAACGCGCCCTCTGGGATCTTCTTCTTCTCCATTTCACCAAATTTGACGGCGTCAATCCACTTTTCCAAGTCTGCATGGCTAAATCCACCTCTCTCTTCGGGATTATAGAACTTATACCAGCCTCTTCTGCCATTGACAACGACGATCTTTAATTCACTGTCGGATGGGATGTCGAGCAGCTTTTTGAAACTGGTAATTTCCTCAGTAACTTCAGGGACAAGGTAGAACGGGAAGATATTTGCGTGACTCCTGGTGTACTTGTGCGAAATCTCACCAAGAGCGGTTATCATCTCCATCGTGGCGGGTGGTGGTGGAACAGAAGGGGATTCTGGCAATGAGACTAGGGCAAGTAAACATGTCCCTGTGGTGTCTGATAGACAAGTAGTTTTGAGATCTATCTTGGATGCGAGTGACCGTAGTGGTGGTGTCTTGCGTCCAGTTTCTTCCTTTTCAGTACTTTCTGAACTCTTGGAGTCTTCAGGCGCAGTGCTGTCCTCGGGCTTATCCTTCGAACTGTCTGTTTCAGTGAAATCAGCTGGCTTTTCTGGTGTGCTTGATGACTTGGAAGATTTATCGGCTCTCTTCGACTGCTTTGGCTTTTCAGGTGTCTGTATGGAATTCGGCTCAGCTATCTGGCTAAGGAACTCCATCATCGGCTGCTTCTTCATCTCTCCATCATATAGAATGGATTCCTTATCACCACCGGGGAGAAGAGCCAAAGCTGGGAACTTTGAGATGCCAAATAGTTCAACGGCAGACTTTTCCTTGTTCCGGATTTGACCAAATGAAATGGAGCCAAGGAAATCACAGGATAGTGCTTTCAAAGTAGGGCCAGTGGCACCTTTCTCGGAGAACAGAATTGCCTTTGCGGTATCATTGCTCAGAGAGAACCATTCGTCAATATTCTTATCGGTGAGTCTCTTGACATGGTTTGGCATATTATCAATAACAGCTTCACCAATAGCCTTTGCACTTCGAGCTCCCTGGTAGTCTTGAACCCTGGGCTTTCCAGGCTTCTTCGAAGGAACAACTAACTTAAGGGTTGGGAATCCCTTGACTCCCATCTGGCCACAGAAAGCTTTGTTCTTGTCATCGTCGCAATCAACTGCTGCAACATTTGCCAGACCGTCAAGGTTCTTAGCAGCTTTCTCATATGCTGGCTTCAGGTTCCGGCAGTGGCCGCACCACGGAGCATAGAATCTATTAATGTAAGCAACGGTATTGGAAGGACGCCAAATGTTGGGTATATATATCCTTACTCGACAATCTATATAGGATTGGTTAGCAGGTAACAAAGTTTAGTATTCCATGGCAAGCTCCACATACAGAGACATGGTTCGAACGAGCGATCAAACGATCATAGCTATTTGCATCGACCTGGAGTACGGGGGACTTTTTGGTATAGAGCCCGGAAGCAGGCACTGCCTCTATGGCTAGGGTCACGAGCAAAGCTGCCAAGCTTGACTTCAGCATCTTGAGCGACTGTGGGTTTAACAAATTGGTTTCATAGAAGTAATTTGTCTATACAGTCGAGCAGTGCAGAAGAGACAGCCTATATATCCGCTCAGCGGCCCTTCTCGATACCGAACACTGTGGCCTGACGACGAAGTTGCAATGTTGGCTTCTTTTCTTAAATCGCTCTAAAGGCCCCGGCAAGAATTCTGCTTAGTCATCTCGGCGGATACAAATAACTTAGTTACATAATCCAAAGAAATACACAGACTTTTTTTTTCTACCGAAACTCTCTTTAAGCCACAAATGTGGAACGAGTTGAGCTTCTACTTCGTTCAAGAGCCGCAGGCAAACCAGAGACAAGACGTCATCGTGCGCGAAGCTTCGTGTGCCTGGTTATCGACTTGAGAGATTGAGAGCAGTAACGCGAGATTCTTATTCTTGAAATTGGATTCTGAAAAGTCTCCAGCTTGTTCCGTCGCTTTTACCTGCTGCTCAGATAACAGGTTAGCGTCGAAAACTTCAGCTATGCCTACTATTATTAGTGTGAGCTCACCCCTTTTAGTGACGGTTAGTTAATGACTTCCCGCCATCAGTCGTCTCTCGAAAGAGTCTTTGAGCCTCCCCAACCCGCTCCTCTGACTCCTGACCAAGAAAGAGAAGCTGAACCCACGTTCAGTGGGATCGTCGAGTTCTGTGAGCCCATACAGAAACTCGAACCGTATAAAAAGGTCACGCTCGTACGGGTAACGCATGAACTATGTCGCTCGAGAGCTACATTTTGAAACACTTCTTTGCTTTTCTAGGTGCTGGGAGCGACCTGTAAGCCTTCACTGCCGGACTCGATCGATTCTCGGGATTTGACTCCTCCAGTTCGGAAGAACAGAAGAAACACGCCGTGAGAGACATGGAAAAATACGCTAGCTTCATCTTTGAGAAGATGCTGCTCCCTCGTAAGTTATCAGAATTCGCTCTAACTACATTGAAACCAGTTCTAAACAATAAGATATAATGAGAGTGGCTGGTACTACGACGCCTCGGCCGACCTCAGCAGCCCTGTCTAGTGGACTACCAGACGCTGTGGACACACGTTCAAGGCTGGATACTCTCTGACGCGACTGTCTAATTCGTGACCATTACAGATGTGTCGTTTCCCATAAATTTGACCTGGTTGAAGCAAAGGAGAGGTACAAGATAGATGGCGACGCCTGCAAAGATGACGAAGGGAACTCTTACTAAAGGAGCCGCGGAGGGGCCGCGGGAGTATTCGTTTTCGGCCCTGCAAGTCGCTCACATCATGTTGCATTCGCTGATGTCTAGGGGCCTCGACGAACAATAACTATTACGTATCTGTAACTTCTTCGGTATAACGGATCAGACTCTGATGGCAACGGTAGGGTGAGGCTAAGAAGTTGGCTGTTGCGATACTGAATTAACATGTTTGATCCGGGAACCATCTATAAGATTGAGGACGAGAAAAATCGATCGCTCGACGAATGCTCTCAGCATGACTCCCGATATTCACCACTTATCCGGCAATTTTGATCTCGTTTCCGAGTCTCTGGGCCCAGACGATCCTCCACACACCTACAGGATAGCGATGGTTGACCCAAAGTATCCACTATCCCCTAAATATCTTCCTGTCATAAGAACCCTCCATCTCTCACCAAACCACACAATTGATCCGCCATCCCAGAGGATGCTCGAGCTACACCGGTCAATTGCGACGATACTTCATCTCAGCGGTGCAAGAGACACGGAGGAGCCATGCGTACCCAGCGATGGGTCACATTATCTCGGAGAATTGCTTTCATTAAAGCTCAACGGCTGGATTGGCGAACAACGTCTTACATATTAACAGCCTGCATTTTGAAGTAGTTAGCCCTTATTCGTGTCTCATTTTCTCTGTATCCGTGCTAAGCGAGGTCGTGGGTTGTTATACTCTTTTTCCCGAAGGAGCCTTGGATTGTCCTGGTAGCGTTCTTTTCCGTGTACAAATACCGTGTACAAATACCCTTATTTGCTTTCTTTTCAAATTTTTATTACCCTGGTCGGAGCAGGTCTGTAGTATGGGTTACAAATGAATGAACGAATCTTGATTTGAATTTCCTGGTACCCTCAGTACATCGGGTAGTGTCAATGAATGGTGTACAGGAGACTACAAATCTTGCTTTGGACACCCGCCCCTTGCCCCAATCTCTAACTGGTCACCTAGATATTTCCACTTTCTTTGCCCGTCAAACAGTCAGAGAAGCCAGAGGAATCAATATAAATTACCAGGAGAAACGAGCATAGCATGGTTCTCAGGCTGCTTCCTCGCAGGAGAACCTCCTACTACAATATCCGTATCGACGGCTACCGCATCCCAAGCTCGCTCGAGTATACCACGGTAATAAACCATAACCCCTATCTACAAGAGTGTCCTCGCCGACTAATCACGTCCCAATCGGCCCTAGGCAGAGTAATAGTAGATATAGATATACTTGTAGTCGTCCGTTGATGCTGCCTCGCCGACTCACCCTCCTTCCCTGTCTCTATCTTCTAGTAGTATCTCAGTCTCCTCACTACCTACTAATATACTACAAAGGCGTCGTACCGCTCCGTGCGTATATTTCTCTTTAACTATAAACGCTATGGGAGGGATTATCTTACCCTGATCTATTTTTAGAGCCTACTATAGCAGCTATGGCGGAAAGACCGGTATATATTTAAGTTCCCAATATATGAGGTGTATCTATCTAGCCTTCTAAAGAGCTGCATGTAGTCGTCCGGGAGAGAGGGGGGGTGAGTTATAGAATTGACTACGCGACGGTATTCGGGTCAAGGGCTCTATAAAACATCTCCTGTGGAAATGGAACCTCGACTCTTGACAGGAAAGGAAAAAGGACGGACATAGTAGAAAGAAAGGAAATGATGCCGCTATTGGTCGAAGACGGCGATGACGGCACCATTGAGCTCATGGATAGAGATATAGATGGTAACAATTGATCTTACAGGAGCGAGGGGGAAACCACAGACTTTAGTGTGATGGAAGAAGGGAAACAAAAGAAACATCTCTTGTGAATACAACTATCTTTGTACAAAAATGGGTGAATGGATCTAGATCTGTATGCAGGGGAAAAAGAGCCTCGCGCATAAGATATGTATGCGGTGCTCGCATCTAAAGCCTCTCGACTGCGTACGTTTACATATCCTCGGAAGCGGTGGCACCAGTGATAATTTCAACCAATTCACCGGTAATGGCGGCTTGACGCTGTCTGTTGTAGAGAATCTGGAATCTAAAATGAGGTGTTAATTGTGGGCGATCGGACAATAGCGGCATTTGAGGAATTTAGCTTACCTCTGGATCATGTCACCTGCGTTCTTGGAAGCATTCTATAAAGGGAAAAAGTGAGTATGACCACGATGATACATCAAGTTCCGAACAGTATTCTTACCTCCATAGCATTACGACGGGCCTGGAAATGAATATGTTAGCAATTGACTAGTATACAGCTCGTGAAGTGGTGGAGCTTACAGAGATCTCGCAAGCGTGTCCCTCAGCCAAGGCCCAGTACAAGCTGTTAGCAAGAGCATACTCACGGAGGTTAGCAAGAACCTCGGAGTCAACCTCGAAAGCGACGACGTTGGCTATAAAGAAGTTAGCTGGGTCTTACCGAACAGAAGACTCAAAAAAACAAAAGTAAGAATGGGAAAATAGAGGGACTGACGGGACTGGATGATAGCCTCCTCGGAGAAAGCCTCGACGGTGGTGGGCTCATAGGCTTGAGCGTTGATGAACTTGTTGTATACGATCTTGATGCTGGCGTAGTCGGTGGGCAACTGGCAGATCTGGTCGGCAATGGCCTGGGCTTCAGCAAAGGTAGGGACGTCCTTGCCGACACCGGCGAAGCTGAGGACGAGGTTGTCCTCGTTGGATCGGGAGAGCTGTCCCTTGGACTTCTCTCCGAGCACAACAATGTCGGCGTCGGGCTTCTCCATGATCATTCGTCGGGTAGCCTTGCTGAGGCCGGAATGAATACCACCGCAGAGACCCTTGTCGGAACTGGCGACGATGTAGAGGGTCTTGAGGCCCTCGAGGGGCTTGGTCTCTGCCTGGCCGAAGACGGCCTCGGAGGTCTCACCGTACGCTCTGGACAGAGTCATGGCACGCTGGGCCTTGTTAAGACGGGTGGAGGCAACAATCTTCATCGTCTTGGTGATCTTCTCGATGTTCTTGATGGACTTCAGGCGGCCCTCGATCTCACGGAGGGTAGCAAAGTTGGCGGCATTGGCGGGAGCAACACTACACACAAAACACATCGTCAGCGGTCAATTGGCTCCCTATCGCTCGCCAGCACCTCCCTCTTCATCTTTCTCGCGCCCTCCAGCGTCCCCGTCTCCTCCCACCGCTGGCAGCCGGCGAGCTGTGTGGTTCCTTCGGGTAGTGCTCTCTCTCTGTCTCTCTTGAGGTGGCTTACCGGGCGACGGCGGCAGAGCCGGCCTTCCATGCCGGGCGGGCGGTGCGCGAGAACATCTCGAGGGGCTGGCGGTCGAGACAGACAGGTTACAGCGTGGGTGGTGACGGCGTCGATGGCTTCTGGTCTTCGTCTTTCGTCGTCGTCGTCGTTTTCGTCGTTTTTCCGTCCTTTTTCGACGTCGAAGAAAACAAGCCAGAAAGGGCTGCGAGCGGCGCTAAGCCCCTTTTGGGTCAAGCCCGGCTTGGAATAACAATTAAAAAAAAAAAAAAAAAAAAGACAAAAAAAAGAGGAAAAAAAGGACGAAATCCTGGATTTATTAATATTTAACCAAAAATCCTCAGCTTCGCCTTTCTTTCCTCCTGCTCTGCGCTTCACTTCTCCTTGCCTCTCGTCCCGCCACGGCGCCAGCTGTCTATATAATACCCGCGTCCTGCCCGGGTTCTGGCCTCGTTTCTGCTCGTCTCTCGCCCGGCTCTCACCCAGACGTCATCACGCCTTCACTATAACTCCCCTCGGCTGGCTCGCAAGGCCTGGCTTCCAGCTCGCCCTCGCCCGGTCAGCCCGGTTCTCGCTGCGTGTGAAAGAGATTCACCATCTGCCACGTCTGAAGGCGTTGCAGGTGTCTCAGTTGCAGGCCATGAGCTCTTCAGATGACGATGCGCCGCTTGCCGGCGCCAGGAGGACCAACGGAAGTGTTCAAAGTGAGTGACGGATGCCAGCATAGCAGACCTCTCCCCCACGAGAGCGGCGCAGCCATCCCAACCCAACTGAAGGCTCTAGTATGCACTGAGGTGCTTCATCATGGCTAACGAGTCGGGCTTTCGTGCTCTTTCTTTTTCTTTCTTAACAGAACCTGCATTATCCAGTCCTACCGTGCCCCAGTCCAACGACACCTCTACCAACGGAACCACCACTCAACCAGGAATCTCGATCCGCTACGGCCCTGCAACGGACAACGAAGTTGATATGCAGGATGCGGAAACTAACGGCGTTGCGCCGTCCAAAAGGAAATCTAGATCCAGTGCTGGTCGCCCATCGTATGTGGAGGCGGAAAGCAGCGCAGAGGACGATAAACCATTGGTACGCCAGAAGAAATAGCCACGCTCCCTGCCCCCCCAGCCTTTCCTCGCAACTCACCGTCTTCGGCTGATTGACTTTTGCTCCCCCTTTCCCCCATTTCTATAGCACCAACCGGACTGACTCCTCCCAGAGCAAGCGTCGTCGAACGGTGCCAAAACCAGAACCTTCTGACTCGGACGAGGCCCCCTTGATATCTCAGGCTAAGAAGGGCAAGAGGGCGTCCGTTAATTCTGCAGAGGCTAAGAGGCTTGTGGCCGAAAAAGCTGATATCGAAAAGAGTGCTGAAAAGGAGGCACAGTCTCTCAGACAGCAGGATCGCCAGGCAGCGGCCAAGAAGAAGGAAGCTGCAAAAACTGCTGCAAAAACTACGAAAGCAAAAGCTACCACTACGAATGGGAAGAAATCTCAGACTAACGGTATCAAAAAATCAGAATCCAGCGATGAAGACGTTCCTCTCGCTCGCAAGGCTCCAGCCAAAAAGGTCGCTGCCACTCCTGCAAAGAAGAGCAAACCCGCAGCAAAGAAGGAGCCTAGTGAGGAAGCCGAAGCTGAAGAGGAGGAAGCCGAAGAGGAATACAGATGGTGGGAAGATCCATCGAAGGGCGACGGCACCATCAAATGGACTACCCTGGAACACAACGGAGTCGTTTTCCCGCCGCCTTACGAGCCGCTGCCAAAGGATGTGAAACTGAAATACGCAGGCGTCCCGGTCACCTTACACCCAGATGCCGAAGAGGTAGCCTCTCACTTTGGGACAATGCTCAATTCTACCCACAACGTTGAAAACCCTATCTTCCAGAAGAATTTCTTCAACGATTTTCAGGCAATAATCAAGAAAACTGGCGGAGCAAAAGATCCCCAGGGCAAACCTATCCAGATCAAGGAGTTTTCCAAGTGTGATTTCAGAACGATCTTTGAACACTACGAGAAATTGCGCGCCGAGAAGAAAGCCATGAGTGCTGCTGAGAAGAAGGCAGCCAAGGCCGAAAAGGACGCCGCCGAAGCCCCATACATGTATTGTATGTGGGATGGGCGAAAGCAAAAGGTTGGCAACTTCCGTGTTGAACCTCCGGCTCTCTTCCGCGGCCGTGGAGAGCATCCCAAAACTGGTACGGTGAAAACTCGCGTCATGCCTGAACAGATTACCATCAACATTGGCAAGGATGCACCTGTCCCAGCTCCTCCAGAGGGACATCGCTGGAAAGAGGTTAGACATGACCAGGAGGGCACATGGCTGGCCATGTGGCAGGAAAATGTTAACGGAAACTACAAATATGTGATGTTAGCTGCCAACTCAGATGTCAAAGGCCAGAGTGACTATAAGAAGTTTGAGAAGGCTCGGGAGCTCAAGGTTCGTGCTATTCTAACTGCCATTTCCTGGGGTCGTTCGGTTCTTGTGCTAATCTTTCTTTCACTATAGAAACACATTGATCGAATTCGCAAGGATTATAAAAAGGGCCTTAAGGATGAACTTATGGTCAATAGACAACGAGCTACAGCCGTCTATCTCATCGACCAATTCGCCCTCCGTGCTGGAAACGAGAAAGGTGAAGATGAGGCTGACACCGTTGGCTGTTGCTCTCTTAAATTTGAACACGTTACGTTAAAGCCACCAAACACCGTTGTCTTTGACTTCCTAGGAAAGGACAGCATTAGATATTACGATGAAGTTGAGGTTGACCCTCAAGTTTTCAAAAACCTCAAGATATTCAAGAAGCCTCCAAAGAAGGAAGGCGACGAGATTTTTGATCGACTCACGGTAAGCATCTCATCTTCTATCATGTCCTTCATTCATGTACTCAAAACGAATTTTCTAACCTCGTTATACATAGACCTCGGCTCTCAACAAGCATCTATCAAGCTACATGCCTGGCCTTACTGCCAAGGTGTTCCGTACGTACAACGCCTCCTACACCATGGCAACGCTTTTGAAGAAAATGTCCGCAACCGGGACTATTCCAGAAAAGGTCAAACAGTACAATGACGCAAACCGTGAGGTTGCTATCCTTTGTAACCATAAACGCACCGTTGCTGCTGGACACGCTGACCAGATGGAGAAACTCAGTGATCGGGTAAGCAAGCAGCCGTTTATCACTTCCTATCTTATTCTTGATCAACTTGCCATTTCTAGAAAGCAACCTATCTAACTCTCTGCTCTAGATCAAAGGACTGCAGTATCAGAAATGGCGAATTAAACAAATGATTCTTGCCCTTGACCCCAAGATCAAGAAGAAGAAAGGTGCAGCATACTTTGAACTAGATGAAGACCTAGACATGGAGTGGATCAAGGAACATCAGGCTTTCCTCGCAGAGGAGCTTCGCCAGAAGATACGCAAGAAGTTCGACAAGGAGAACGAGAAGCGAGCTGCTGATGGAGAAAAGGAGATGAAGGCCAAAGAACTCGAGGAACGACTCAAGGCTGCCGACGAGCTTGAGGCCAAATATAAGAGAGAGAATAAGACGAAAAAGGTTGAGGCCGAGGGCAGGGGTCCTACTGTCGAGAAATTCGAAGGCCAGATTAGCAAAATCGACCAGCGTATCGAGAATATGCTTCTTCAGGCCGAAGATAAGGAGAATAACAAGGAAGTTGCCCTTGGCACATCTAAGCTTGTGAGTCCTTTTCGATTCTATATTTCTATGCTTCTTCTTTCTTTCTGTTCTTCTGCTTCGTTATCCAGCCCGATCCTCGCTCGTTTCGTCATTCCCCAAGAAGCAACCCCATCACTAACGCCACTTCGTAACACAGAATTACATAGATCCCCGCTTGACCGTGGTTTTCTCTAAAAAGTTCAACGTCCCAATAGAGAAGTTTTTCTCGAAGACAATGCGCGAGAAGTTCGACTGGGCTATCAAGTCAGTAGACGAGGACTGGGAGTTTTGATTTTAAATAACTTTATTTTCTCATTTGATCTCTTCTTTTGGTTTTCTTTAGTTGAGTTTCCTCTCTACACTTGGCTTTTTTGCTCTCTTTTTGCATAGCAGTGTTCTTTGTACTTTTATATCATAGCTGGCCTCGCGGGCGGCACTCTTCCTTATATTACTGACGTAGCAGTTCTTGCCTTGACAGCAAAATATCCACGACAGGTCAACAGCAGCACCATCGCGGAGTGATTTCCATAGTATTTCAAAAGCATAGTTATTCAAGCAGTGCTCTCTCTCTCTCTCTTTTTTTTTTTTTTTTTTTTTTTTTTTCATTTAGTTTTCGGTAATGAAGTATTGATTATATTACAACAGGGGTATATAAAAGCAACAAGGCTGAAGCGGAAAGAGAGGGACAGAAAGCTAGACTGATCATAGAACGAACGAAGGTAGCGATCTTGGGATGTCGAAGAGCGTCAGAGGAAGAGAAGCGGCGCCAAAGTAGGAAAAAGAAAGGAATGGAGACTGAAAATTTGGGCACCCATGCATCCCAAACATCGATCCTGCGCGAATGTATATATATCCCGTCTCAAGCAGAAAGCAAAAAAAGAAAGAAAGAAAGAAAAGAAAAATGAAAGATGCAAGACCGCGAAGCAAATAGCAAAAGAAATAAAAGTTAAAGGGATAGGTAGCAGGAAAATAAAACGAGAGAGGTTTCTCATCTATCGTAGTTAATAAGGAGAAGAGGGAGCGAATAACACGCGTATCACGGCCAAACAGAGAGGAAGACAGGTAGCAAACGATTCAGGGCCACCAGTTCATCTGTTCGTAACTTTTGATAACACTACTAAGCCAATCCGGGTCAAGTTTCTCCTTCATATATGTGAAGCCAGTAGTCTGTTCGAACAGGGATCCGTCGACTGTTGTATCTGCGTCCTTGAGAACTTCTTTCTCCAAAAAGGGGCTGATGGGCCCCGAGGTAGTGATCCCTTTGGCCAGCAAGAGTTCCGACCAAACTTCTAGAGTTTCCTCATTCATCTCGTCTAGGATCTGCTCTTGGTTCATCTTGGCGAATTGGCTCATTAAGGAGCCCAGGAATTCGCACTTGATGCCAAAGTTGCGTTCAAGAGCGTCAGCGAGGTCACCCTTTAACGTGTTGTTGTGGTCGACGATGTTGAAGGTGGTAGGGAATGGCTGAGAGTCTTGATTGGGAGGTAGAGGCCCCTTGGATGCACGCCATGTTGCGGCTGTCCAGAGGGCGCGGGCCGCATCCACAACCCAGACGGTGTTGAGAGGGCGTTCTTTGGCGTACAGGAAGGTCAGAGGACGGCCGATCTCCTTGTATGTTCTCCCCACGCAGATGACAGACGTCAGGAGGCCAGTGTCGTATTCTCCATACACATATGGGAACCGTAATACGACGAGGTTAAGGCCGTCTATCTTTGCCAGCTCTTCCTCCGTGGTGACCTTCCACTTGGTGAGCTTCTGCAGGGGCTTCAGCTTGTCTGTTTCCTTGCGCGGCTTGTCATCAACCTTGTAGATAGCCGCAGATGAGCATTCAACAAAGGCCTTGACCCCCCGTCGTGCGGCTTCTTTGCCCAGAGTAATCGAGAGGCCATGGCTGCGTAGCCGGTAGACATCATCTTGGTGCGAATACCGAGACTCACCGCCGCAATTTATCACCAGATCGTACTGGGAGCCGTTTGCACGGTCGAAGACACGGGAGAGCGATTCTAGAGTGCAGCAAGTCCTGTCAGACCTGTATCCCTGACGTCGACATGATGCTGGGAGAGGGAAGGGGAGAGGGGGGGGGGGGGGGGGGGGGGGGGTGTTCAAAAGAGGAAAGGACAAGCGTACGCTGAAGGCTGGCATCTGCCTGAACGAAACGGTCCTTGCATGCCTCGGTGATCTCGGGTGAGAGCCATGCAAGCTGGGGGAGCAGCTTGTCGACCACCCGCAGCTCTGAGGCGAGGTTGTTCTTGTGTATGTGGTGGACGAGATGTCGACCGATGAAACCTATCAAAGGGCAACGAGGCCAAAAGGAGAAAGCGAATCAGCCTCGAGCTCACCAACACCAACATCAACATCAACACCAACACCAACGTCACCATCGACATCGACATCTACTCCTTTGCTTCTGCTGGTTTATAGTCGATTGCATACCTAGCCCGCCAACGACCAGCACGCTCGGCTTGTTGAAAGAGTCGTCCGACATGGCTGCTTGGTGCCTGTGGTCGTTGCTTGATTATAACAGCCGGAGGGATATCTAAAACTGAGATGAATGAATTGGCCAGGAGATATATATATAAAAGAAAAGGGAAAAAAGAAAGAAAGAATAAAGAAGGCCTTTTCCCTCTGTTCTTGTCCCCTTTCGCGTTGCCTTGCTGCTCTCGCTCGCTCTCTTTGGTCTCTCCTGTAATTCTCGTCACTGACCGGAAGGTAGATAGACTTCGTTTCGTCGGGTTCTCGACGTGTCTTCGATGTTTACTAGAGGCAGCGTTCTGGCAAGATCCAGAGTCAGGAGGCCGTCAAGACGTGAGACGCTGGCCTCAAGGACAAGCGGACACACAGTAGAGGGATAGACGTGGGGTTCTCTTGTCCACCTTCCTCTCACTCTCTTCTTTCTTTTTCCCCCTCTCGCGTTGGCTGCAGGCGGGAAGTGGCTGTTTGATATTCAGGACGCAGGACGGGCGGTTCGAAGAGTGCTCGGCCAGCACTGGCTCGAGTCTCGCAGGGCTCTTTGATTTACGGAGTATGCTCAGCAGCGGCCCTATGCTTTTCAACTCGCTCTCACTCACTCACTCTCTTACTGACAAGAGAGAAAGAGAGAGTGAGGGTGGCAGGGTGGGGGGCAACAAGTTGAATTAGTACTAAGTCTCGGTATAGGGATGCGTATTTGCTTTTTCAACCTCTCTTCTCCTGCTGAATTGGCGGCTTGAACCCACTTTATATGACATGCATCATCGGATACCGCAGAACAGGGGCTGATCCCGCAGCAGCAGACGAGAACGAGACGCAAGCCAGCTCGAGCGAGAACCAGCTGGATGGCACCAGGCTAGGTATCGAGATCCCCCTCGCTTGTGCTAAGGAAGAGGGAGGGGGATGTATGAGAGGCCTGACCGCAAAGGTCTATACTTATACAACCTATATCTCTATATAGCCCTATAACACTCTTCTAAGCACAGCTATCTCTCTGACCGAAGTTTACAGAACGCGAGTTGCAGGGCCCTCGAACGATGTAATTTACTGGCGTACCAGGCCCGTACCACTCGCTCGCTGCCTTGTTGGTCACACCGACAATTCCGTTTTCTACTTATCTCTGGCCATCTTTTCTTCTTCTTCTCCTTCTTCTCCTTCTCCTTCCTTTCGATCTCTTTTTGTCTTGCAGTTTCTTTCCCTTTATCTTGCAAGACGAAAAGGGCCTGTCAATATCGACGTTCTCCGTTGGTGGACATGGAGAAACTGTGCGGAGCCCATCATCAAACGATTCAGGGGCAGACATGTTCTTCTCAGCTGACAGTATATTTTTCCTCCCCCAAGAGTAGTCGTCGTAGTTTGGTGTCGTCATCAGTCGTTGTTAGTCTCTTTTTCGAGGCCAGGATAGTTTGCAGGGCAGGCAGGACTGACAGCGTTTGAAACCAAGGACTGACGTGCCGCAAGGGGAGGGGGGACATCGACCAAATAACATGATGTGAGTTATAATACATGATCTTTCTAGAAGGAAATAGATCCATGCAATGCAGGTAAGATTAAAAGGAGGGGGTTGCAAGCCATTATTGAAGACGTCGCCGACAATATTGGTTGAAAAGACCCTTGCATATTCTCTGCATCTCACGAGTCAGCGTATATTCTCCGTTATTGGTCACCCGGAAAAAGGGGCGCATCCGAAAAGACAGACTGTCGGGAGCTCGACATGGGCCTGCGCATACCACATAATGAAATCTCGCTGTCCTCCCATCTAAGGCTAAAATATCGAACTTGCAGGTTGGGGCCGATCGAGCTGCGAGAATGCGACCCCTGAACAGCCCCCTAGCAAGGTGGACGATTCTGCCAACAACCAGTGTGATATCACGCCCCCATTATATCCCAGGGTAGTTATATGCAATATGTGTTGGTGATGAGGTAAATGTTGGTGAACCCCGAGGAAACCCAGGCTCCTTTCCAATCTTCAGGGAGTCTCGGGCGTTGGAGGCACAGACATCCTTTCTTCCTTCTTTGATATTACCTGGTTCTGGATCGAGATATACCTGTCCTTCACGGCTTGCACGGTCAGTGTCAGCCTACGGAGTAGCCTTTAGGAATACGTGGAGGATTATGGACAAGATATCCTGAGACACATGACCTCCTCCACCCCGGTAAGCCGTCCAGCTTCTGTAAATCTAGAATGCTGCTCGGAGTGTTTGCCTCTGTTGAGCCCGAATTGCGCGGCTAGCCATTCGACCCACGTAAATGTTGCTTTACCATCTTCCTGCAACGAGCTGAGGCTGTTGATCAATCAATACGAGCAACGCCCCTTTCCTTCCCACCAAAGCACTCATCGTACCCTTTTCTCGTTTCCATTGAAGGATCCCCAAATGCCGTTGCTGCTAGATAGGCAGGGACCCCATTATCTGTGGAGTGGAGCTTCACACAACGGTAGACACAGCCGGATGACTCTCCGATTGGAATGATACCTATACCCTATTGCTTCGTTAGACACACTTTCCCTCACAGTGCTTGTGTAGTGCTAGTGGTAAACCTCCTTCCTAATGGACTGCTGCTCCGTACAGCCATTGCAAATATATGCCTTAACCATTCACTGCGGCACACTTGGTTTCCCGTTGGCCGTGATTCCCCCCTGCAAAATAACGGCCTTCCAAGTTACAGGAAATCAAACTTCCAAGGATAGCAGCGTTTCAGTATATACCTTCATGCAGACATGTCTGTATTTCAAATCTAGTAAGAGAGAATATCCCAGTGTTAAACATTGGCCGAGACGAGTGATCTCCAAGTTTGATTATTGATCTGGCTACGGTTCATGGTTAAACAAACGCGTTTCCCGCCCTACGGATGCATATTCTTCGACAGCAGATCCCCTCATTCTGTTTCACCTATTTCCATTAACCACAAGTGTCGAGTGACAGAAGCAGAAATAATAATAAACAAGAACGAGGAAATAGGCACTGTTTTCACGCACCTTGGGTTTGTGGCCAGGATAACTAGTTATTTGCAACCCTTAATGGAAGCCAGGCTCTGCATGCAAGCTGACGAACGAGACCGCATCGTCGCCTCGATTTAATTGCACTCGGTCATCCCGAGATAAAACGAGCGCATGTAGTAAAACCGCGTATAGCTTGCTAGTCCTTCATAGATCGAAGGAAGGACAAGCGACGGCTGCCCCGAACCTTGGCGAGAAGACGTACATAACTATAAACCATTGAGTCAACTAGTTAAGCTAAACTGTTTGTTTCGTCGATGCAGGATGCAGGCCTTATATAGGTAGAAGAGCATGTATAATGGAGGAAAGAGCGATGATAGCCCTGGCGACGAAGGCCTTTCCGCTGCGCTGGAACCTTGGGTCTCGCTGTGGGGCGTTCGCCGGGCCGAGCCTACCAATTTCGACCTTTAAACGGACATTCCATTGTACCTACTATCAAAAAATGAGAATGAAAAACAATCAAAGTCGTCGATGTGGTAGTATTTTTCTTATACACATACTGGTAATAATACATATAACAGGGTACGGCTGTAGTCTCGCCGAAGCCTTGTGTCTCTTGATGGCTGGTGGATGTTAGTTAACCACAAGGATCAGAATTAACTATTCAGTCCTTCTTCTATTCGTTTAACTTCCACCACTTCAATAACCTCCAGGTCAGTCATAAGCCCATAGTGGTTCGTAGCCCAAAGTTCCATGCCTCGAGCTCGCATACTTAACCTGATTTCTTCACCCTCCATGACAACCCCCACGCCAATACGTGTCGAGGCCCTAGCCACCAGTCCACCGCGGTAGAGGACCTTGTCAAAGACGTTCGGGCCGGAAAATCTCTTGTCTATCGGCAGTACGCTGATATCCCCAGGTACATTTTTTCGAATCTTCAGTTCCTCCCAGTACCAAATATGCATCCTTAAGATCGTTATTCCCCGCAATCCGATCGTCCGAGGCCTGGATGGAATTCATATTACCCGCCAGCACACCGCCATGTATATATCACCTCTTCTTCCGGGTAATCTGTAGCCTTTGCTACTTGCTGGGGCCAGATCGGATGGACAGAAGACAAAGAGGCAAGGTGGGTATTGCAGACTCGAAGAGACTTTGCTTCCTTTCGGCCATACTGCCCCGTATATGTAACGTCCAGATCAACGAACAGTCAATCCCTCTAGAACTTGCTGAGCCATCTAACACGGAAAACATTTACGACACGTAGTGTCATCCTGGCTGATGTAGAGGTCATTCTTTTCCTCGCTGTGGTCCTCAGTTTGGGTTAAAGTAAGCGTTCCATATGGGGAGTCGAATCCACGGGTATCAATGTTACTGTAAACCGTTCCTGTACCCATTTCGTGTTCCTAATTTGCTCGATGCTCGCCTCGAGCAGCTCCTGAAACATGATTATAACCGGTGGCGAGTCTTCGGTATACGGTGAGAGGATGACCTTGTGTAAATGGTCTAGAGCTGCATTCATCCTCTCCCGGGTGAATGGAGCGTAAACATCAAGACTCCATGTAATAAGGCGGAAAATATTATTTCTTCACCGGAGGATCATCAATAATACGCGTCTTGGTATGCTCGAATTGTACCTGTGGCACAGCTGCTGTCCAGGGAGGTATGATAGACTTCCACTGCTGAGTACTGTTATCGAATATATGCCACGGATGGGTCCTAGGTTTATAGCAGTCATCGAGCATGCAGGGGAAGTTTCTGGTAAATAGAAGTTCGGGGTCATTCTCAGCTGTTTTGATATCAGAGAAGAGAGCAGCTATATGATCGAAGTATACTGATATAGGTAGCCTTCAACCAATTCGGGGTCTCCTAAATGCCAAAAGGTGTATGGATGTTCAGGATGCCGAGTATCTGGATGGAGAATGAAGGTATAGGACTTAGTTTCTTCGGATCATTTTTCATGCAGTGAGAAATAAACAAGAAAATAAACAAATAGGAACATGCAGTTTCTTTACTGACTTATTATTCGCTTAGTTGGCGGTGATTCCCTTTCAGCAGCTGTGTGTATATATAGTTACATCTTGAAGGCATAGACAAAACAATAGCCGCCTTAAATGTTCACTGTTTTTCATTTTAAAGACACTTCTTGAGCTCCATATACTAGAAGAAATGGTTTGGAATATTGGTATAAAACTAGAGATAAGTGTCCAAAAAAAAATCCAATTAGTGTCTGCTAACTAGGTATACATACATAAACACGATACATCCAGTTTCATTTGTGGAAAGATCATCCCCCAATTAGGCAAGACGCCTTTTAGTTCGATATGGGTGGAACATAAGAGTGGAATGGCAAGTGGTAGTATTTGATTTATCCGAAGGGCGGATACACGTAGAGGTCGAAACGTATGTGGTGTTGGATATTCAATTTGGGCTGTCAAGAGACAGTATCGTGTTTGAAAGTTGAAACAGAGGGTGCTAGAACTGCGATACAGGACGAAATAAAGCTATGCCTCCCAGAATTCTTGTTATGGCATACGGAAGGCTTCATATGCACCAAGAGCCCGGGAGGGTGATGGTTCATCAGCCACATGAGAACATGTAACCTTATATATGGTGTTTTAGCGGGGGTTCAAAAAATTTAAAGCCTTTTGCAGCTCTTTGATTGCAGTGTTGACATCATCAAAATTGAGCGCAGACACTGCCCAACGCGCATGCTTTTGGGCATTTGAAATTGCTTCCTCATCAACAGCCTGGCTAGAGCTACTAGCTCCATGCGTTGATGAAGATACGGGTAGCGTGTCTTTAGGGATTTGGGTTAATGGTGGTACCATTGGAGGCTGTGGGTGGGATGTTCTATCAACATCCATTCCAGGAGATGTGCGCGGGGGAGGGCCAAGAGCGTGGGACTCCGTAGGTGGGAATTCAGGTTCCGTGGCAGGCGGAGGGAAGGACTGGAAAACGTTAAGTGAAGAAAAGTCAGATTTTTGTCCGAGTTGAGAAGGTAAGTCAGTATTGCTTGACGCAGGCGATGGGAAATCAGAGGGCGCCGCAGGCAGGTCAGGAACGGTAGCTCTGGAGAGTTGTGAGGGTATCTGCCGTAAACTGTCATCAAAATCTACCATCCCTGGGGGTATACTTATTGGAGGACTGGGAATTCCACTGCCTGGCGCACTTGTAGGTGCATTTGGGATATTAAGAGCACTTGTAGGCCGTGGTGGAGGCGCTGCGGAAGATGAACGTGAAGGATGAAGCGATTCGTTCAGAGATGATTGCGCTGCCAATTTACTTTGGACCTTGTCGAAATCGTCTGGAATATCCTCGACAGAAGGCTGTCGTGCTTTTCTAGGGACTTCTGGAGGTACCTGTGTGTCACCGGCAGCAACTGTTCCTTCAGCCTGACTTGAGGTTTCCGGTGAGGTTTCAGTATTTTTAGGATTGGACGTATTCGGATCCTCTCCAGCTTTTAAAGCCTTCATAATTCGGACCGCATGATATTTAGAATATTTAATTTTGGAAGCTGTCTCCGCGTCAGGCTGGCCCCATGCTTGGCCTAGCTCCAGGAAAGTGGCCGCAGCTTGGAAAGTATCGGCAGTCTGCCTATATAATTTGTTAAACTGGTTTAATACCATTTCAAAGGAAACTTCTCAAACCCACAAAGATGCTTTATTCGCCCGAACTGCATTTTCCGCCCTTTGGAATGTCTCAAGAGCGAATTGCTCCACGTATGCCTGACCAGCAGTGTCGTCTGTTATCGTATCGTCATTAGAGTGCTCCTTTTTAAACTAAGTCACCCGAATAAGATTAGCATCTCAGAAAAAATTCGCTATTAGTTCACTGGTGACCCAAGAGAGTCAAGTAAATCCTAATAACGGCCTACGGCAACCATACCTTCTCGAGCTTATCCATGAGCTCAGTGGTGTATTTCAAGCATTCTTCATCCGCTTGATGAAGATGTTTGTCCAAAATCTGAGTCACAGCCCAGAAATTACCTGTGTTTTATGCTCATGTTAGCTTACAGTGCAGGAAGTGGTTAACTATACTGACGGTTCAAGGCTGACACAACGTACACCAATATGAGATAGTCGGCTTTGCTTTCTCAAGCTGCGCTGCCCGGGTCACAAAACGGCTGATATCAGCCGTCTTTAGACTAGCTGGGATATTCGTGGACATCTTCACGGCCTCTGTGCTTGGGTATTTGTTGATAGACAGCAACCTGGCGTTGATGATGTTCGCCTGCAAGCCAAACGAGCTTCGAAAGGCGTGGGGAACAAATGACGTTAAAAGGCTGCTTAGTCAGCTAACTAATTATGTCTCCACCACTCGGCGCTCTGATATCAACACAGCAACTCATAAGGGATGTTCGATAATGCTTAGAATTTGTCGATACCTCGCTCGTAATAATTGCACATATTCTGCCTATATAGATGCATGGCAATCTACATACGTGGTCTCGGAAAATCTCATCCACCACCAATACCCCAGGACCCTATCCCAATCCGCTCTTCTGACAGAATTTCTACCTCAATGCGGTCTTCAACCTGACCACCCGGCCCGCCAATACGTTCAACAACAAGCCATATTCCCCCTCTCTGTTCAAATTCTGGCTGCAAGTCCACTGATTCAATGCGAGCGCCTCTGACATCATCACTAAAGTTACCATCTCCAGAACCAGCTAGAATTTCTTTATATGGTCCTTGCCCAAGCTCGACAGTCATAAGGATGGGAGATGGAGCGGCATTGCGATCTCCAATCGATGACCCTCGACGTCGACATATTAATTTCAACCGCGCCAGACGAGGGGTGGAAATTGGGGCCAAAATCCGATCCGTTCCTGGAGGGAAGACTCCGATGCCAGAGTTCATAACCAAATGGCCCGCCCTTTCTGCCGGCAGTTGCCTGACATAGCAGGGCGAGGTGCTAGAAACGCACAATGTGAATTTTCCCAGTTGGTCTGGCGTGAATGTTGAACAAACGATGGTGTACATCCCCTTTGTCACATCTTTTTTCTCAGCCAAAGCGACGCCACGGCGGTAATCACCACTGCCAACTACTATATCCCGTGAGCGAACACATGCAACCCGGTCCCCATTCGACCAAATGAGGCTCACATGAACCGCGAGGCCAGGATCTTCTGCTTCCAGAAGAATATTGACATCACATTGTTCAAGGATCTGTATTTGGAACTGGGGGTTTTCAGGATATCTTTCGGATTCAGCATTACCACCTGCTGTGGATATAGTCCAGGCTCCTGATAACTTTTTGATATGAGAATATGTTTCTTTCGCGGGATGGATACTAATCGGAGACATAGAAAATGCAGAGATAGAAAAGCTATAGAGTGATCTCTGATGGGATTGCTCTGAGACGACGGTGGTATAGGTTGAATTTGGCGGCATCTCAAGCCTCATTACCGTGTTCGGGGAATCAACGTAAGGACCACGCCGGAGAGCCCCGTCTGCCAAATAAACCCTAATTCCTTTCTTCTCAAACACATAAAGGCTGATGAACCCAGTTTGGTCAGCATCAGGAACCACTTCCAACAATTGGTTCGTGTTCTTTTTATAGTCTCCAGTTTTAAAATGCTTTCCAAGGAGAAGCCATACAGTTCCTCCGGATTTAGTGGAAACAGCAAATTGAGGATTTCCCGCGAAGCACCCCGGAACTATGCTTGCGGATGACAGGTCCCAGCGAAAATGGATATCCTGGCGGTAGCGGAATAGAGAGGGATTCCAATTTAGATACAGGTTATCGAAATTCTGGAGGACATCTTCAAAGGCCATCCAGAATGTGCCTGGAGCGGTGGTTGAGGGGTGTGACGGTTCATGCTCAGAGCCATGACTAAAAACATAGTTTTCACTAAGTTGGCCTACTCCTTTCCATACGGGTCCCGCAGCCCATGGGTTTTTGATGAGCATTTGACGTATTCCATCTCTCTCTTGCAAGCTTAAAACTGCATAATCGTGTAGGCTGATAAGACCGAGCTCATTTTCTTCATAATCTGTCAGTTTTCCAGTACCTAGGGTTAGTAATATATCCCCTGACTGGAAAAAGTTGGTAATACGCTGCCAGAGATGACCGGGTGCCAGTTCATCGTCATGCAAAAAGACTTGCTCAGGAATCCAGCCAGTTAAAACCCATAAGTCAGTCCCAGAATTGCTTCCTGGAAAGTCATAACCTCCTCTTACTTTCAGATATGCCTTTTCAACCAAGGCGGGCCATATGGCGGCAGGGTTATTCCTATCTATCACGTGGAGTGATCGTAGAGTTTTTGAGGAAGGAAGCATGTCATCAATAATGACCTTTCGGTAGCAGCCATTGAAATATAAACGGAAAATATACTTCCCCGAGGGAGAAATACATGGGACTTTACCATCTTCAGAGGGGTACATTTGAATAGAACGAACGAGCTATGTAGTCAACATTTAGAAAATGTCCGGGAGTATGGTATTCATGGACAGTACCTGAGAAACTCCTTCCTTCCACGGCGCTGCACCTGTGCAAAGACTTGCCACCACAGAGCAGTCCGTGGTTACATCCTGAACTAGGTCCATTGGATTTGGACCTAGTAAGATCGGGGAGCCTGAAGTATGATGACCCAGGATTTCAGCGGGCCGTTTCCAGCCATCAAATATCTCTCGCTGAACAGGACATATTTGGAGATCAGAAACATCGCTTGTGCAAATGTTGAATGAGTGAACTGTCCATAACAACTTAGTGCCAACCAGGAGACTTACAGAAATAACCTGCCCTCTTCGTCAACTTGAAATTCCCTGGAGTCAGGAACAGCTGTCATTGACCAAGGTGGGAAAACAAATCCATTCAGTTTGGAGTTTTCGAGTAATATAATCTGTTCACGATTAGACTGGGTCCTTGTGGAAGTCGGCTCGCTATCCACTAAGGCCGCCGGCTGCAATGCGGGTATCATTGGGATATTTCTCTGGCCTCCATCCTTAGATTGCTTGATATTTTCAGCTAAAGTGAGGTATTCCTTGCACTTTGAGTCAAACAGTCTCTTTTCGACCGGGTCATTAACCAGCCGGAGGGCATTCATATAATGTTCCGCGGCGTTGATTGCAGCCTGCAACTCCTCTTTCTGAGTCAACGCTGAGCGTACATCCTTCTCAGCTTCCTAGAAGCAAGTGTGTCAGCTGAGTCATAGCTATTGACATGCTTCATTTTACGCAGACGGCGGAAGCAGTACCAATGCTTGGGCCCTGATATCTCTTAGCTGGGTCATGGCAGTAACCTTGTGAGGTCTATCAGCTCATAGTAGTAATCTATGTACCCCGAGAGACAAACGCGTCACAAAGGGCCTCTTTCCCTTCCCTTATCGACACCGGAAGCAGATGTAGAGGATAGCAGAGCACTCCCGTCATGAGGTGGGTAGCTCGGTGGATGTTATGGATGTTGTTGTTGATGCTCAGCTCAAGCATCCTTGGAACCGGGAAGGACGGCTTACCTAGGCACGCACGCACCGAAAATTTGCCGGCATTTTGCTGACGTAATACGCTCGGATCCCACAGGCGTTGTCAGCTCGAAGTTTATCTCGTTATGCCTCGGCTTTGCGACTTTTAGGTTACGGCAGTTCCTGCTGGTTTTCGTCTGGAGCATGGAATAGCAAGTCAAACAACTCCCAGCGGTCGCAGAGCTGAACATTGACCGGGTCGGTTTATTCGCCTGCGTGACGCATAGCCTTGCTATCTCCTTTATTTAGCCTCATGTCCCTCGCCATCCGCTTTTGAGAGAGAAGTCCTGCGGTCTTTTGTTTTTGCTGAAAGACCGCACCTCTATACTTATCAATCATGTCCGGTCAATCGAAGCTCTCCCCCTGGCAGAGCGCCGTCGCAGGGGCCACTGGAGCCGTTGTTGCAAATGCCCTCGTATACCCCTTAGATATGTGAGATTTATATACCTGGTTATCCTTGTCTTAGAACTTTGGGGAATGCGATTCAACTAACGTGAAATTCGATGGCCCTACAGCGTGAAGACTCGGCTACAAGTTCAGGTCAAGTCCCAGAAACTACCGAGAGGTGACTTCTCCGATGGCACGGTGCATTACGATTCTACAATTGATGCAATCAAGAAGATCCTTGCCGATGAAGGCCTCTCTGGGCTATACTCCGGCATAAATGGCTCTCTTATCGGAGTCGCATCGACGAACTTCGCATACTTCTATTGGTATTCTACTGTCCGAACCCTATATATGAAATCACGACCGAACCAAAAACTCGGTACCGCTGCTGAGCTAGCTCTGGGCGCCGTTGCTGGAGCTATTGCTCAGGTTTTCACAATCCCTGTTGCGGTTATCACAACGAGGCAGCAAACACAGCCGAAGGGGGAGAAAAAGGGACTTATTGATACGGGGAAAGAGGTCGTCAATAGCGAGGATGGATGGAGTGGTCTATGGAGAGGTCTTAAGGCCAGTCTTGTTCTGGTAGTCAACCCGGCTATTACGTACGGTGCCTATCAACGCCTTAGAGAGATCATATACCCAGGCAAGAATAATCTGCGGCCTATGGAAGCATTCTGTGAGTTCTCCGTTAAACTTCTAGCTTTATTTTCCTGGTATCTATCTACAAAACTAACTTGGTATCTAGTGTTGGGCGCCATGTCCAAGAGTTTGGCTACAATCATCACCCAGCCGCTGATTGTAGCCAAGGTTGGTCTACAGTCTCGCCCACCGGCATCCAGAAAAGGAAGACCTTTTAAGAGTTTTGTTGAAGTGATGAGTTACATCGTCGAGCATGAAGGTACCCTAGGTCTTTTCAAAGGAATCGGCCCCCAGATTATGAAAGGCCTATTGGTTCAAGGCCTTCTAATGATGACCAAGGAGAGGTAAGGGCTCCATATTTAACTTCGAATAGAACTCCTTGCGACACCAGTGCTCACCGGAAATTTATAGGATCGAACTGCTCTTTGTTCTACTCTTCGCCTACCTGCGAACCCTGAAGAAGGAGAAACTCCAGAAAGTCGCTGATGCTGCTGCTGCTAAAGCAAAGCAATCAATGCCAGCGACCCTAAAATAGAACATTTACACATTGGATGTGGCTGTCAATCTATATGCATCTTTAGTCTTGATTTTCCCGGGATGGTTACATACCGAACTTAGTTTTGCTACTTGTATAATTTACGAAATATAGATTTACCTTTACATATCGATATCATGGCTAAGGTTTCTTGTGGAATGTGAATTGTTCAATCATTTCCTTGACCTTTGCCCTTTGTCGCGCAGGTCAAAGTAAAGTCCGTTGCGCCGTGCCAAGGCCCTAACTACTGTTCTCTAAGCTTAAATATTTACCTGACCGAAAGAATGCAGAGGCGTTATCAGAATAAAACCAAAAAGTCAGAGGCTAACTCTCTCGTTACTATTTCATCTAACGTTCTTGGTGCTGAATACCTATATATATGATCCCTTTACTCTGTCTCAGTGCTAGCCATTCTTCGGAAGACTCCCATTAACTTGCAAGCGACCATCATGCGATGGCTCTTCTGGACATCAGACAATGACGGGGATGAATGCAAATGCAATAGTAAACCAATTTCCAATAGCGATGAGAAGCAGTCAAAACTCTTCAAAGATACTAAGGATTGGAATGCATTATCCAATGCAACCAATTGGTCTCATTTTATCGAACCGTCAAATCTCATTCCCACCATCCTTTTAACGAGCGGCATCTTATTTGCAGTTCGAATACATCGTCGATACCTACGCCGAATCCCAGAAGCGTCTAATATATCACCTTCCTACCTTCGACAACGAAGTATATTGGGCAAAGTCACGAGTGTGGGCGATGGAGATAACTTTCGCATCTATCATACTCCCGGTGGGATGCTTGCGGGATGGGGTTGGCTTAGAAAGGTGCCTACATCAAAGAAAGACTTGAAGAACAACACGGTACGAAACACTTCAATCTACAGAGTAATTTCTTTCGTTGAAATTTCTAACCTATTAACAGATTCACATCCGTATTGCGGGCGTTGATGCACCGGAGCTCTCTCATTTTGGACGCCCAGCCCAACCTTTCGGCGAAGAGGCACACAAGTGGTTAACGAATCGACTAACCGGCCGCAGAATACGTGCTTACGTCTATCGACCTGATCAATATAGCCGCGTTGTAGCTACCGTATATGCATATCGATTCCTATTTTTCCCTCAGGATATCGGATTGCAGATGTTAAGAGAAGGCCTGGCAACTGTCTATGAGGCTAAATCTGGCGCCGAGTTTGGAGGACCAGAACAAGAGAAAAAATATAGGAATGCCGAGGCATTGGCTAAGAAGAAGGGGAAGGGACTTTGGAAAACAAAGGGTTCAAATGACTGGGAGAGCCCTAGAGAGTTCAAGTCTAGGATGAATGCCATGGACCAGGGGAAAGATTCTTCTGCGTGACTGACGGCCTTGAGATGACGACTGATGCCTTCTTGATTCGAGCGTTCTAGCGTTGAAAGAGGATTTTTCTTTGAATATCTGAAACTATGCGTGATGATACTAATATGGTTTCTAGCGGCCCATATTCTATATGTGATGATAATTCTTCTCCAATATTATTACAACTGAAAGAAGGGAAAATGAAGTGAGAACTGTCCTCATCCAAAGGCATCCGTATTTAAGGCCGCACATTATGCATGGCATATCTTTACCAAGGTAACATAGGTTGGGTATCAACAGAATCGTTTATCGATTTCAGCAAATAACTTCGGGCTGATGTCATCACTCGAATTGCCCTCTATGCGCAAAACGCATCCTTTTGTTTCGTAATGGTCCAGCAGTGGTTTGCTGGTCTCTTCAAACTTCTGGAATCTCTCCTTCCAGACTTCGGTAGAGTCGTCGTCCCGCTGAACAAGCGGTTCTCCTGTTATATCATCCTTTCCGGGAACCTTTGGTGCATTGAAGTCGGTGTTGTATACCCTGCCAGATCCAGGGTGCACCCATCGAGAAGATATTCTCGATAGTATGATGGATGGGGGGGTATGGAGATGAACAACAAGATTTATGGGAACGAGGGACTCGAGGCTGTTGGCTTGGACGGCCGTTCGGGGGAACCCATCGAGTATGAATGAGGCCGACGAGTTGAGTGATTTCTTCGACGATAGAGCGGATGTGGATGAAACGTTGGGCGATGGCACAAGCCATCCTTTAGAGGTAAGTTCAGAGGATATCAATTCTAGGATGGTGGCATCTGGAACCAGTTGACCTGCAAGCAGAGCTGACTGAACCTTGAGTCCTATAATTCGTTGCCGTTAGCATTAGATTCCCACCAATGAATAACAAGCGAGTCGATAGCCACATACCAATCTCTGTCTTATTGCGAATGTTCTCCCGTAACAAATCCCCTGAGCTGATCGATGCAAGCTGTGGATACCTCTTGATCAGTCTCTCCGTCTGGGTGCCTTTCCCAACACCTGGCGCTCCAACGAGGATGATCCGCGCAGCCTTTTTCAACCGTCTAGTTGCTGCACTGGCACCAGCCATTATGTACTCAGGGAAAAAGCCGAGAAATGCAGGGCTATCCGCCAAAGAAATGCACAAGAGCAATATGCAAGTTGAGGAACCCTGGCTCCAACGGCGTGACTCTAATAACTAGTAGTTAATCGAGACGTAGGAAGAGAGTAGCTGGCTGGTACCTCGAGTAGCCTGCTGTGAAGCGGTAGAGCATGTATGTGCGACCCCGAGAAGTGGGAGAACGCTGGTGATATACAAGGTGCAGGTGGTTTCGGCGTTGGCGATGCTCACCCGAAACGCCCGACCTCGGAAATGTTGAGCTGGGCGGCCTCGGAAAGGGAGGCAAAGCCAACCTTCCTACGGCGGACTCAAAACTCGTTTTTGCCTTGTAAGAGATAATTCCACACAGCCAATAATAGCAGAGGTATTTTAAATAGGACCTTCTTATATGGATAAATACTTTATATACCTTATCTAAGTACCCTTTTTCTTAAGGGCATATCCTTCCTTTTTTAGCCCACAGCCTGGCTTCTCCCCTAAGCTAGCTTCCCTATCTTCTCCTTCCCAAGCTAGCTCCCTCCCCTAAGCCTACCCTAAGCCTTCCCGCTATACCTGTTCTCTTCTAAGTCTACTCTCTCGGCCTCTCTCTTATTAGGAGCTTCTCTTACTTAAGTCTCTTACTTCTACTAGAGAGAAGATACTTAGAGCGGTAGACTTAAGAGAGAGTAGACTAGGGGGCTAACTGCGGGGAGGGGGCTAGCCTAAGGAGGAGAAGACTTAGAGGGAGAAGCTAGGCCGTGGGCTAAAAAAGGAAGGATATGCCCTTAAGAAAAAGGGTACTTAGAGAAGTCAAATAAAATATAAGGAGTTCTACTTAGTAATTAAGTTCTATATTCTCTTTATTCTTTGATTATATAATTAGAAAAACTACTTCTCTGCGTGTTTTTATGTAAGTTGGTTATAAAAATGGATTTTGACCCGATGGCACAAATAGTCCGCCGTACTTCCAGCCAATCCCTGCCTTGGAAAAGGGCCCGAAGCAAGCGCACGGCTCTGCGGGGACCAACCAAAGGGCCGGGAGGGAAAGAGTGTCACGTGTCAGTCCATTGCGATCTGGGCGACTTCGGTTGAGGGGGAGCATGAGATATGACGATGAAAACTAGTCGAGAGACAGCCGCATATTTCGCTGCAAGAAGATAGGCTAGGTACTGCTCAGGCGCTCTGTCGCTGTTCGAGTGCTCTGTAAGAAGAGTCTCTCTGCCTCTTCCTCCCTTTGAGCCTGTACTTGTAGCCTTGAAGAACTACAGTTCGGGATAGAAAGTAGCTGTGCTTATGTAATGATTTCAATATCACGTGAGTATTATAAAGTTTATGGAAGTGGTTTCGCGTCTCGACGCGATTTTCGGCGTGAAGCAAGGGACAAAGCAGCAGAGACGGAGACGGGGAGAGACGAGAAGGCCACAGCATCTTCGATAGCTCCAGCAACAGTGATACAAGGCTCATCATGATGCAATACGACAGGAATCGAGTTGATACGAAGCGTCGGGCCGGCATTGACCATAAAAAGCGGCAGTTTGCAACGCCCGTCTATAAACATCTTCGATATTCACACCGGCTGAACTTCTATGAGGTGCCGCCAACAGCGGAAATCACTCTGGAACAGTTTGAACAATGGGCAATTGATCGTCTTAGAGGTATGAGGCTCTTCACTTTTAGGTGTTGAAGCTGAGCGATGCTGATTATCTTATAGTTCTATCCGAACTGGAGGCTTGCTCCTATCGAAATAAAACCCCTGCGGAAACAGCTGCTCATATCGCCCCTCTGCTCAAGAAATTCCTCCCGTTGAACTCAAATACCTCTCTAGGCAGCAGTAGTGACGATATACTCCAAGCTGAGAGACAGAAGGACCACTATTCCCATTTTATACTACGGCTTGCGTTCGCTTCAACCGATGATTTGAGGCGACGGTTTGTCCGCCTGGAGTCTATGCTGTTTAAATTCCGGTTTCAGCAAGATGATGCACGGGAAAGGCGCGAGTTTGTGGACAGTTTACACCTGGACTGGGAGACGGTGAGTGACGAGGAAAAGGCCGAGTTGGGCGAGGCTTTACTGGCGTCGACTCCTAGTCTTCGATGGGTCGATGACGAAAGTTGGTTCAAGGTCGACTGGGGGGCTGTACCTGAATTGATCGAACGGCGAAGTATATATGTGAAGAAAGGGAAGGCATATGTACCATTGCGTGAACAACTGAGCATGATTCTTGCGGAATTCACATCCCGGTTGGAAAAGGCTATGGAAGTACGTTTGCACGACAAGATTTGATTGCATATAGGAAGCTAACCAAAAACTTCTAGCTCACCAGTCGTGCCTTACCCCGGCTTGACGAAGATGACCGCCTTTCGCCAATTCTCCAGCATCTTTCTAAGAACTTTGGGACCGCAGACTCTTCTTATTCTGAAGGGGAGGGTGCTGTTCCCGGAGCCCCGATTAATGCCGCCTCAGTTGACGTATTAGCACAGCATTTTCCGCTCTGTATGCGGAATCTACATATGCAACTCCGGAAGAACGCACATTTGAAACATTTCGGGCGACTCCAATATACCCTTTTCCTCAAAGGCATTGGCCTGTCACTTGATGACTGTCTCGTGTTCTGGCGGCGGTCATTCCGGAACATAACTGATGACGAGTTCAACTCCAGATATAAATATAATGTTCGCCATGCATACGGTGATGTTGGCGGTGACATGAACCGGCGAGGACGAGGGTATCCACCATACTCATGCCAAAAGATTCTCACTGATAATGCTCCTGGCACCGGCCAGACCCACGGGTGCCCCTACCGACACTTTTCACCAGATAACCTCGTCTCCCTGCTTGAAACAGTCGGTATAACGGACCGAGAGACCCTCCGCGGTGTACGAGAGGACGTTGGTCGAACCCGTTATCATATTGCCTGCAATCGAGTATTCGAGTATGTTCATAAGAACGAACTAAAGAAAGTTCGGGACGAAGGCATATGGAGTCAAACTGAACTTGATACCATCGTTCACCCAAACGTTTACTTCAAGCGCAGTTACTTGCTGAAGAACCTCAACAATGCACCAAAAACAGAGGTTGAAATGACGTCGTGAAATGCATACAGACTTATGATTTCGGCTGAGGGCAATGTAACGGCATAAGCGGTCATCTTCCTGGACGTTGCCTGCCTATTTATTATTATTATTATTATTATTTCGAATTCTTGTTTATATTTTCGAAGGTTCAATAATTCTAACATTGATTTACCCTGCTTTCTAGAGATAATATATTTATACAGTCCCAAAAAATCCCTGTAACAAGATTAATACTCCAAAATAGTACGACACATATTCATTCATGAGAGAATGAGAGGAATGGCGCAAAAACGAATCTATAGAGCAGTCAGCATAATTGTTACCTCTGCTGATTCCCGGCCTCTCATAAAGCATCAGAATGAGCCATCAAAACCAGGTGCCCAGCAATGGGTATGAAGAATTCCATCTTCGCTCGACGCGAAAACAGCAGTGTCATGGAGGAAAAGACAGGAGCTGCCAATGTAATGTGAATTAATATGTCGGCGTTGTTTGTAAAAGAAGAAGAAAAGGAGGAGAGGAGAGAAAGAGAAAATTTTCGCCATAGGTATTTATACGCAGCGCGTGCCAGGTTTTACCGCTGGCGCTAACTTGGCGGGCTTTCCTAGGGCGGGCGAGAGAGACAACAGCTGCCGCATCCTGCAACCTGGCATCAAATCGGCTTTCCCACCACGACGACGAAGCCAAACCTCCCAGAGAGCTGCCTGGACTTCTGCCAACCTGCTCAACGGGCTCGCTGCCAGCAGACCGCTTTTTCTGATACCTGTGTCCTTTCCTTACATTTAATGTGATTATGCTTGCAAGCTTTTATTGATATACTCGCCTCGTCATCTTGTTTTGTTGTGCTATCTCTCCCTCCCGCCCCCTTGACCTCCGAACCAAACGATCGTACCTCACGGCATCATGGACTACGAGGCTTTGAAAGACCAGTGGAATGATGCGGAGGAGCGCGATGGCGTTCGATTAAGCTGGAATACCTTTCCAAGCACGCGCATGGTTCGTTTTATTTTTTGCAAGGTTCCGGCCAGATCTATGGAGTCGGGAAGTCCTAACAGTGGTTACAGGAGGCATCTCGGCTTGTGGTCCCCATTGGAGCTGTGTACACCCCATTGAAGGAGCGGCCAGAAGGCACCTTGCTTCAGTATGAGCCGGTTACCTGCAAGATGCCTTGCAGAGCGGTCCTCAACCCCTTTGCGTACGTTGCCAAATCTCCCCGCACTTCTTCGATCGAGTTTTCATCGATTATTTCATCAATTAACCATGGTGAATAGCAACGTTGATATTCGTGCACGTATCTGGATATGTCCGTTCTGTCTCCAACGCAACCCTCTTCCGCCGCATTACAAGGATATCACCGAAAATGCCATCCCGCCGGAGCTTCATCCAGAGAATAGCACCGTTGAATATCGGTTAGCCCGCCCTGCGCCTGCGCCTCCAATCTTCCTATATGTTGTCGATACGTGCCAGGAGGAAGACAGTTTGAAGGCATTGAAGGACTCCCTCATCATGAGCTTGTCCCTTTTGCCTGCTAATGCTCTTGTCGGCTTGATCACCTTTGGAACTATGGTACGCCCACCGCTCGACCAAAACCATTACTTCATTCCACTAACGTTATCTCATGCAGGCCCAAGTCCACGAAATTGGATATACTGAGTGTGCAAAGTCATATGTTTTCCGGGGAAGCAAGGACTACTCTGCAAAGCAAGTTCAGGAAATGCTTGGCTTGCTCGCTCCCAATCTCAGAGCCGCTGCACCACAGCAGCCAAACCGGCCAAACCCCGCAAACTCGCCAGCGGCCCGATTCCTTCTCCCAGTACAGCAAGCAGATTATCAGATTACAAATGTCCTCGAACAGCTACAACAAGATCCCTGGCCCGTTGCCAATGATAGGCGTCCGCTAAGATGTACCGGTGTTGCTCTTAGCGTTGCCATTGGCCTGATGGAGACCTCATTCCAGGGTGCTGGTGGCCGAGTAATGTTGTTCACAAGTGGACCAGCATCCGAAGGCCCTGGTCTAGTCGTTGGCCCTCAACTGAAGGAACCAATTCGTTCCCACCACGATATCGACCGGGACAATATCAAATATTTCAAGAAAGCTGTCAAGGTACGATGACAAGTCCTCTCCGCTGAAATGCCACAGATGTGTCTAACGAACTGTAGTTCTACGATAACCTAGCAAAAAGGGCAGCCCACAACAGTCACATTGTGGATATATATGTTGGTTGTCTTGACCAAGTTGGTCTGCTGGAAATGAAAGGCCTGGTTAACTCAACTGGTGGCCATATGCTGCTCACCGACAGCTTCACCTCATCTCAGTTCAAACAGTCTTTTGTTCGGATTTTCGATAAAGATGAGAGTGATAACCTTACCATGGGGTTCAACGCCTCTTTGGAAGTTCTCACTACCAAAGAACTAAAGGTTACCGGCTTGATCGGCCATGCTATCTCTCTCAATAAGAAGTCCAGCTCAGTTGGTGAAACTGATTGTGGAATCGGAAACACCTGCTCTTGGAAGATGTGCGGAATTGACCCTGCTGCAAGCTACGGCCTGTTTTTTGAGATTGCCAACCAGGGTGGGCCAGCACCTATGCAGCAAGGCCCTCATCGAGCCATGATGCAATTCTTAACTTACTACCAGCATTCTTCTGGACAGTACCATCTCAGAGTCACGACCATTGCTAGGCCCCTCAGCAGCCCTGCCGGAGATGCAGCTCTTGCCCACTCGTTCGACCAAGAAGCTGCAGCAGTCTTGATGTCTCGTATCGCAGTCTTCAAGGCGGAAGTTGATGATGGCCCAGATGTTCTAAGATGGGTTGATCGAATGCTTATCAGGCTTTGCTCGCGATTTGCCGATTACAGGAAGGATGATCAAACATCGTTTAGACTTGAGAAGAACTTCAGTCTCTACCCTCAGTTCATGTTCCACCTTCGACGAAGTCAGTTCTTGCAGGTATTCAACAACTCGCCAGATGAGACTGCTTTCTACCGACATGTTCTCAACCATGAGTCGGTCAGCGATTCCCTAGTCATGATTCAGCCTACCCTTGACTCCTACTCGCTTGAGCACGAAGGCAGTCAACCAGTGCTATTGGATTCTGCCTCCATCCATCCAGCTCATATTTTACTACTGGATACCTTCTTCCATATCCTTATCTTCCATGGTGAGACAATGGCAGAATGGAGGAAAGCTGGATACCAGGACCAAGAAGGATATGAGAATTTCAAGGCAATTCTTGACCAGCCAAAGGAAGACGCAAGAGTATACAGCCCTGCCTATAAATAGAATCACTTATATGGCATCACTAACGTCCTTTTCTTTCAGGACCTTATCCAAGACCGATTCCCACTCCCTCGTTTTATCGTGTGTGATGCGGGTGGTTCGCAAGCACGTTTCCTTCTCTCTAAGCTTAACCCATCGACGACACATTCTTCCGGCGGCTACGGAGGTAGTGCGCCCGGTCAGACTATATTCACGGACGATGTTTCCCTTCAAACGTTTATGGACCACCTTATGAAGTAAGTAGCACGTTCAAAAGGTCATTAATCTTTCGTTGCTAACAAGAGTCCTCCTAGACTTGCCGTTTCTGGCACCAACTAATTAGAGAACGGTTCATGTTTTGGAGTGGTAGATGAGTGATAGTGAAAATTCCATGATCAATATTTGCTTAGTTAGTCAATTTCAGTTCTTGAATTCAAATGGCACGCTATTGTTGAGGTACCTCAGGGACCTGTCCAGGGCAGCACGGCCACGCCAACTCTATATCACGTGATAATTTAGGGTCTTGCCCTAACGCGCTAGTTCGCTAAATGGAACAAACCAAATTTGAACTTCGAGCTTCAGTATCTGGAGGCTCGCACTTCATCACCTCACCACCTTTCGACAGAACCAGGAAGATAGACTACCTTTCGCACTCGCCATGCGTAAGTATCATCTCCTCTGGTGTGCTATGGCGGCCGACTGACATTTGTATGATGTGAACAGCTCCAAAGCCAGATCCAACCGAAGTCAAGGTGATGTATGTTTTTTTTTTTGGTCTTCATCATTTTTTACCGAGCCCCTGTACAATCAAATGTGCTAACAATTGCTCTTTCAATAGTCACCTTAGGGCCACTGGTGGTGAAGTCGGTGCCCAGTCTGCCCTCGCTCCCAAGATTGGTCCACTCGGTCTTTCTCCCAAGAAGATCGGTGAAGATATTGCGAAGGCCACTGGTGACTGGGTACGTTTTCGAATAACCAGATGATATCGCATTGGTTACTGTCCGAACCGGACTAATAAGTAAATAGAAAGGTCTCCGTGTCACTGTGAAGCTTGTCATCCAGAACCGTCAGGCTACCATCTCTGTTGTTCCCTCCGCTTCCTCTCTTGTCATCAAGGCCCTGAAGGAGCCCCCACGTGACCGCAAGAAGGAGAAGAACATCAAGCACTCCAAGTCCATTCCCTTCGATGAGATCGTTGAGATTGCCCGCATTATGAGACCTCGCTCTTTTGCCAAGGAGCTCCGCGGAACCGTTCTCGAGATTTTGGGTACTGCTTTCAGCGTTGGTTGCCAGGTCGATGGACGCAGTCCTAAGGATGTTAGCGACGATGTCAAGTCTGGTGAAATTGATGGTATGTGATCCCCTTCATAACTCTACTTGACTTATGCCGGAATACTAACGTGTTTCGCATAGTGCCTTCCGAGTAAATGTAAAACCAAAAGAAAAAGTTAATGAAATGAAATGACAGAAGAGATGCGAAATGAGCACAAAAGCCATTTCCGCTCTTGGTTTCTTCTACTTGTACTACTACTCAGAGAGAGCTTCCCATTACTCCATGGGATTTACGAAGTAACGATTTTTTTTTTTTTCGCCTCATCTACACTTCGTTCCAGTCCCCATACCCCCTCACTGCATTATCTTTCCCCCCCTACCCAGCCTTTGCCAACACTCTGGCCTGTACCGGCGCGAATGTTTTCATTTGAGCAAAATCTCTACGGTACTGGCCTATTTTGGTGCAAAGGAGATCGAGTGACCAACTACTCACCGCGGTATCCTGGATGGTGCTCGGGTATTGTTTCCTTTCAGAGGAATACATGTCCATGCATCTATCCTGTGGATGCGGTGGTCCATCTTGAAGGTCTACATGTCTTCTCAACCTTAAAACCTATAACTTTTCATCTGTTATGAACAGTGTTACCAGGATAGAAGCCTTTACTTCCGAGTACCCTGAACTGCAAGTGGAATGGTTGTATGTTCGTATTATTTGAATGAATGCATTTTTAAACTAGAATCTATGTTTCTTCCCCTTTAGGTAAAGGACACGATCTGATACGCTCATTTCAGCGGAAGCGACAATAATTTTAATAATGCATATTAGGGAACACTTTCTTTTTTATATTCCGCTTCCCCCCGCGCCGAATAGGCCAGACCATGTATGTGCGTATCTGCGTTGGCCCGAGAACCCCGTTTGTAGCAGCCCAACGTAGTGAAGTGAAAAAAATATATTCTTGAACCAATCATTATAATTATTATTACATGGTCGTTCATACATCATACACATGGAGAGAGAATAGACCAAATCAGCTGCTGGCAGGCGAAGATAGAAAAAGAAAAAAAGTAGATGGCCGTTGATATAGCAAGAAGATCTTGTGATTGCAGCTTGCATGTCACATACAGAAGCCTTTCGCCTCTTTGAACGGAGAAGAGATGGAGAATGTGATCAGTTGTAACACCGTCTGGAAGTGGCTTGCAGCTCGCCCACGGCTTGGGACAACGAAGATCGCTCCCTTGACCATAAGCTATGTATGTACGGAGTACTTCGTACCCGAGATCTGGGGGTATGAAAACCCATATATGAGATAGAAGTGCTTTTCATGCCTCATTATGCATATGCTGAAGCTAGATATCAAAAAATATCAACCAATTAGTCAACTACAAAACAAGCTGATATTGCATATGTATCCTGTAGAGCTCTGTATCCGTATATCCGCAGCCTGGATCCGATGCACAAAGCAATAGCGAGCCTTTACCATATCACTTATTGAATGATGCAGGAAACCGTCATATATACGTAGGTAGCCTTGTGCATGTACTTCATGTCCAACCATGCTCGAAGGAGAATTCCGGACAGAACAAAGTTAAATTAAAATTCCCAAGGGAGAAGACCAACTTTTTGAATGCCAAAGCGAAACAATCTCCAGTCTATTTTATTAACCAGTCCGTATAATGTAATAATCGTGGGGGAAAGAGATAATGTAGAGCATTAAGTGGTTAGTAGAACGATAGTACCTGGGAATATGGTGGCTATTCCCGCTTCAGTTTCTTATATATCAAAGAAATAATTAGCCATTTTGATATCTCCATAAGCTATCGGCATTTTCGGATCAGCTCCCGGTCGTCTTGTTTTCCCCATAGTTACATACTGCGGGAATATATTAATAAAGTAGAAAAGGGAAGAATGAAATAAAGAAAATAGCGAAAAATATTTAGGTTTGCCCTCCCGTTGACGGTGATTGCTCAACGTGTCCAAATGCCAGGCCGGATCAAAGAATTGAATCGAAAACCGACTGCATCACGTAACGCTACCCTCCCCTTCCCATGTCGATTGCCAAACACTACGAGCAGGCGAACGGTTCAGGATATTCCTTTCAGCCAAGGATCGCCTTTATCCCGGCCAAGTGGGGACAGCTCTGTGGGTGAATCCATGCTTTCAAGCCTTTGAACCGATCGATGTGGAGTCTCATGTGGATGTAGCCTTGGTTTTTTATATTTCAAGCTATTCGAGTGTGAGATTCATCTCCCGTCGTCCTGTTCTCTGGCCCGTCTGCTGTGAAAGCTAGAGGAAAGAGGCAGACGGGTGGTCGTGTGTCCTTGCTTCAACAAACGCCTGTCACGTATACGCAGGAGCCGAAGCCGAGCACACCTCGTGTCTGCGAGCAAGCAACGCTGACTCCAGAAGTGAAGGGAGCGGAGGTATCAGTGGGACCGTTGGAGCCACAGCGGAGTCATCCTTTCCCAAATGAAGAATGCTCCGCAGACCATGTATGCTGACGATATCCAACAGGTGCCAAGCTGTGACCTGGCCCATGTACAGGAAGTACCCATGCGTGTCATCAAATATCGAGCGAAGGGGAAAAAATAATCAAAGCGCAGCAGGAGGACGCAGATACTGCTTTTTCCCAATACCTGTTCCACAGGCCATACCATACTTTTTTCTTTTCTTCTTCTGGAGGCTGCGATAAGGCGAAGCTGAGCTAGTTGAAGAAGAGCATATAAAGATGCTGGAAGAAGAGTTCGAAACAGGCCAGTGAAACATGATTAATCACACGGTTAAGCCTCGCCTAAGTGTGGAGCCATATAGAGAGCTCATCCACAGCCACGCAGAGGTGTTGTCAGTTGCCGCGAGCCAAGATGATATTGCTGATGTGATGATGATGACGGGTAGAGGATCGTTTGGTTGTTAAGGTGGTGGTGAGATCGGTGTAATCCTCCCGGCGTTTCCGAAGCAAAAATGGCTTTGCCATATTAAGTATCTCTGATGAATATCTTGGAATTTCCCTTTTCATGATGCGCGAAGCCCATCGAATCGCAGGTCAACACTGGAGAGAATAATACCCTTACGGGTGCATTGTTCGGGGCCGCTCTGGAAGAGGCCCAAGGTCCCAATCAAGCCACAGTGACATCTGGGCGTTTAACGGTCATCAGTATCACCCACACAACAGTGGGCAAAGGCAAGCTGATTATCGCCAAACCAGGTGGACGCCGACGCTGGTCCCAGAATAATAGGTTCCGCCATACCGTATATGTATGCAGAGTTGCGCCCTCAGCCCATTATCAAAAGTGGAAGAGATGCCCACAAGTGAGAGGAGGTCACTCATCCTTCGACTACATCGTTGTCACCAGGGGAGAGGAGAGGCCACTCTGGTCAGAAATGTGTCAACGTCCCATACCATCCCATAGAAGTCCAATATACTCCATCCAAGGCACATCGACATGCACCACCCATCCACACACAACCCTTTGAACCTGCACAGCTAGGCTGCATCCCTGTCCTGAGACCTGCGAGCCCGTTGCTTTTTCCCTGTGGTCGACTAGTAAGAAGTGGCCGCCCAGCCTGGTCCCTGTCACCACCCGTCCCACCTTCGACCCTCCCTCCCCATGCCTCTAATAATAGCCCCATCAGTAGCATGTTGATGGGCGTTTTTTCTTTGCTGCGATCGCCTAAGCCCACCGCGTTGCTTGGCTGCTGTGGTCCAACTGCCTTCGACTCCAACTGATATTTTTGCTGGGCGGTTCTATCGTCTGCATCATATTCTGCACCGTCTCGCTGTCTTGAGGTATTGTCACTGAACGGCCGTCCAGTGGCTATTATTCCTCCCTTGTCCACCAACGCCGTCCCCCCCTTCTTCCATCCTTCTCCGTCTCCTTGACTTTCTGCCTTTCCATTCCTTCCAGGCTATAGAGTTGGCGTTAAGCACACTTTATACGCTTGCCGTGTTGGTGTGGACCTGGCTCGCCCTAGCGGCTAACATCCATCTCCAGTTGAAAACAAATCTTCTGTTCTTCGGTTTGCCTTGGTCTTCATTTTTCTCCTTCTCTCTCTTTCTCTTGTTTCTTCTCTTGTTATCTCTTTCTGCTGCCCCTGGCTCTGCCTCTCTAGCTCGATCGACTGGCTCTTCTTCGACCCTTTCTTCCCCCCTCCCCTCTGCTCCTCTCGCTCCTACCCGTTCGCCTGCATCTCGCCAGGGCCGCTAACTGTGGCGTCTCTTGTCCCCGATCTCTTGAAACCTCCTGGCCTGACCTCATATGTCTCCACCGTCGCCGCCAGGGCAGGCTTCAACCCAGCCAGGAATTTAGTGCTTCGGTCGCGAGAGCCCATAAATCTTCCTCGTCTGCTTGTTAAGTAAGTCGACTCCAGACCTTCGGATCAACGAACGCGGTTTTGCTGTATTCAAAAAGCGGAATTTCTTGTCGCTCTCTTCATCGTGTGTTTGTCCGTCTGTCAGCCTCTGTCTGCTGCGCTTTGGTCGTCGTCGTCGTCGTCGTCGTTGTTCTTTTCCTTTTTTTTTTGCTTTTCATTTCCTCTCTCGCCCTCACCGCCCTGGGTCCGTCCCTTTTTTTGTCTTTCACGACCGGCAAAAACTCCAACCTCACTTCCATCAACAACCGCAGAAACCGCAGCTCGACCGCGATACCTGCGGCCATCCTCACCTCGATCACTCCTTATCCCGTTGATGGCTTGGAGCAACGGCCTGCGTGTGTACTGACGCTGACGTCGCTTGCCAGAAACCGACCCTCCTTCATCGCGTGCGGCTGAGCCGGACTGCAACCACCCATTAAGCCTCCGGTTTGCTCAGGGCAGTGCCCTTCCAACATACGTTACCAGAGAACCCTGTACTATTCAGATCCAAATCTCTCTCTTTCTCTCTCTCTCTCTCTCTATCTCCTCACATCGGCCAGGAGTCATACGTGTCCGTGATGTGGCCTCGAAAACGAACAAGAAGATTCCTTGGTTGATGAAGAACTCTGCTTCGCCCGTCATTTTCGAAGTAGTTTTTTTCTTCTTTTATTTTGCAATAGACACGACTGATAGATAGGAGTGATAGAGGAGGGAAGACGGAATTCAAAATGCTGCCGTCAGTGGCACACCAGCCTCTCCAGTTCCTCCCGCACCGCCATACTCAGTCCGTTTACTCAGCCAATACTCCTTACGAACTCCACGGACAAGGCATACATTCTTTCCAGGATGACTTCCAAATCTCACAATACGCCAACCACGGGCCATCCTCTTTGATCAGAGGGAGCAGGACGCATTGCCCACGACCAATCCAGCGGCCTGAGATACACAGCCTGTCAGATGGCCGATTACCCGGCAGTTCTGCCTCGCAAGAGAATACGTTACGACGGAAAACACCCAATGGTACTCTTGCTGCCGGCTACGATGCTACTCCTGGAGATAGGTCTATTCAGCAGCCTGCTACCAAACACATTCTCGTCTCCTCGCTCGATAATAGCCAGATAATGCCCCAACCTGGCCTCTCCCTCGATCCTCTACAGCAATTTAAGACCGTCGAACCGCTACCTCTTTCGCAGCACCAAAATTTTCCTCCCGCGTTCAAGCAAGATGCAAATAGAATAAATACTGTGCACAACGGTATACCACAAGACTTTCCAAACACTAACTGGATTAGATCTCTAAATCCCCCTCAAGGAGGCATCGACTCGGTTTTAAATCAGGCCTCCAGCTTATCTACAGGTCAGAGGTATAACTACTGGCAGAACCTGCCCACAGTTCCCACAGTGCTTGCGTCCTCTTTTCAACCTGGCCTCGGGAGCCCTGAGTCCGCCGCTACAGCGCAGTATGGCCAATACTGGCCTGACGGGCCATACATGCCACCGTACCGACCTGCCACTTTTGGAGATACGAGATATCAATCTACCCCGTCATTAGGACAACACTCGCTGCCCACTAATAACAGGCTCGCAGACGCTCAATCACTTTTTAACAGACAATCTCTCCCCCCTTCCGAATTTCTTGCACCAGGCTTCTCCTGGAACCCACTCCCAGCCCAGTCAGCTATAAACGCGCAACAGCAGCATCAAGTTTATGCTCACGACCTCTCAAGACCGCAACAACATTATGCTCCCAGTCATATCCCTCAAAAGGCGCCCGATCAAATCTGGGATCAACCCCAGTTGCAGTATGGGCCATCACTTCCTTCAAAACATGATGTACATCATTTGGATTCGGTTGACTCTTTACGTTGGCAACAAACTTCACGGAATGGCTTGCATCCATCTACATCCAACGTTGCCAGATCGCCGAGGAACCCTGAGTTCAAAGAGAAGACCCTCTCATGGGCTCATAGCGTTTACGTCGATCTTCTTGCATCGTTGCATAATGCCAGGAAGAAAGCCAGTCAGGGTGCAGATTCCCAGTCTCGCGAGCCTCTCAAACCTAGCATATACCCTAAACCCCCAAGGCAACCAGCCTCCGACTTCTCACATTCCGAAAACATGGCCAGAAAACCTAAGAGTCGCGATCCACAAGTCCAGGCCATGAACATGCACCCGCAACGAAGCCATTCCATCCACCTAGATCAATCCGTGGGTGGATTTTTCGACACAAAGAGACACCCTGCCCACAGGCAATTCCCATCCATTGATGATTCCGCTCAGTTGAGGCATCTAAATCAGCCCTTCGATCATGGAATGTCTTCTGACATGTCGATGAATGGATATCGGACGATCCGGCGTAGTCATGGGGCTTCGATGTCTCGTATGTTCAGCCCTGCGCACGAAGCAATGTCGATATCTGAAAAGGCTGTTTCTGCTTTGGAAATGCTTGGTAGTCTCTGCAAGGAGAGTGGCTGGACATGGATCGATGGAATGCTCATTGGTGGCTGCCTTGCCTATGGCCTAGGTGACTATAACAGAGCTCTGCGTTGGTATAACCGAGTTATCAACCAAGATTCTACGTAAGTCTGGATTCTAACATATTCCATTCAAAGAGAGTTATACTAACTGTAACTATAATAGGCACGTTGAAGCAATATCCAATCTTGCTGCCTCGCTTCTTGCTTTGGAACGTCGAGAAGAAGCTCTTCAGCACTGGTTGCGAGCTATAAAATTACGCCCATGCTACTTTGATGCTGTCGAACATCTCATCGGATTGTTATGCAGCAGTCAGCGAGGGAGGGAAGCTGTCAATATCGTTCAATATGTTGAAAATTCTTTAAGATTACCACCAAGCGGTGACTATTTCAAGTCTAATCGTGCCTGCGATCAGTCCGATACGGAGTCAGAAGATAGGGAATCCAGTGTATCGACTACAGAATCCGCCGATAAAATGGCATTTGATTACACTGACAGCATCCAGAGCCCACTGGAATTTGCGGGTCTGACCAATCTACCCCTGGCTTTGGGTCGAGTGGTTATGCTATTCCTGGGGCCGATAATGGCAGAATCCTTGGTCTTATACATGCCAAAGGAAACATGCTGTATGCACTGGGTGACAATGTGGCCGCTGCTGGAGCCTTCGAGGAAGCAATTCTCATCAGCACAGGCAAACGACGAGGAATGAAGAGCCTTATCCGCCATATCCTTTCGGCTTTTGCCGATGATAACAGGCGCGGCATTCCTACTTGCCGGCCGTATGATCCCAAAGAAACCGTACTGCTATTTCCAGACAAGGCACTGCAAACGGCAAAGCTAGTATTCCACCCGCATGGCATATTGCCCGGCCTTCAATTTCTCCCAGACGGTCTGGCCAAAAGAGCTGCAATTTCTACAACCAGCAACTCGCTACTTTCGCTGGCCAAGATATACCAGGATGGTATGGCCTCGACATCTTCAAATGGAACCCTGAGAAGCACACCAGGCGTTCGAGATATTCTTGCTTTATACTACCTGTCGCTGTCGCTACAACCCAGCCCATCAACAGCAAATAACGTCGGGATCCTCCTCGCAGGAATTCAAGGAACCTCTGCTAAATCCGTCCGCACGGCTGGTGAATATCAAATTCCAGATATTCCTGGTGTCACTCCTGGCAGTGGCATTGCACTTGCTTTGGCTTATTACAACTATGGCCTCACCCTTGACTCAAGACACGCTCATCTCTACACTAACCTAGGGAGCCTTCTCAAAGATATCGGCCAGTTGTCTGTTGCAATTAAGATGTACGAATTGGCTGTCCAATGTGACAATAAGTTTGATATTGCACTAGCCAACCTCGCAAATGCTGTAAAGGATTCTGGCAGAATCAACGATGCCATCGGATACTATCGGCGAGCCGTGAATGCTAACCCAGATTTTGCTGAGGCAGTATGTGGCCTAGCAAATGCATTGAATTCTGTTTGCAACTGGGGAGGTAGAGGAGGCATCTCTCCCGGCCGTGGAATCAGGGATTTGTGGCACGTCGATGATCAAGGCCGGCTACGTGATGCAAAGGAGGTGACATCTGATACGGGATGGATCAAACGAGTTGTTGATATAGTTGACAAACAACTGAAGGACGGTGAACTTTGGGGCTGTGGCACTCTTCAGAACCTAACCCCGGACCAGTTGTGTTCGGCCCTAATGTCTCCGTCCAGCAATACCACGGATGCAATGAGCAGACGAACAGCGCTCAATTCCTTGCTACGTTCCTGGTCAGGGAAAAGGTGGGAAGGGTCCCGGACTGTGCGACTGATAGAACGAATGGTGAAGTATATTGGCTGGCAGTGGTATCAAGATCGATATGTGCACCGCAGAGAATACCCAGCTTCGAGGTATGCACGTCCTAATTTTCCAGGGGCACTCACCCCGCCCAGTGCACCGACTGTCTTACCATTTCATACATTTACTTGCCCATTATCTGCAAAGCAAATTCGCCATATCTCTCAGCGCAACGGGTTGCGTATTTCCTGTTCCACGCTGCGTTCCCCATGGCTTCCTGCTACGGTATATCCACCTCCAGCTCCGCCGAATCCGCAAATCATAATTGGTTATGTCTCGTCCGACTTCAACAATCACCCTCTGGCTCACCTTATGCAGTCCGTTTTTGGCCTTCATAACCCAAGTCGTGTAAAAGCGATTTGTTATGCAACGACAGCCAGTGATAATTCCATTCATCGTCAACAAATCCAACGGGAAGCTCCTGTTTTCCGTGATGTTAGTAGTTGGTCCGTTGATCGATTAGTGGATCAGATTGTCAGAGATGGTGTTCATATTCTCGTCAACTTAAATGGTTATACACGTGGTGCTCGTAACGAGGTGTTTGCAGCTCGGCCTGCGCCTATACATATGTCCTTCATGGGGTTTGCTGGGTCATTGGGTGCGGAATGGTCTGACTACATTCTAGCCGATGAACTCTCTATTCCACCTAGTACTCTGGCCCCTCGAGGACAATCCGCAAGGATAGAAGATCGTCTGTATGACGTGGATCACAACGAAGATGCCGATGACTGGATATATAACGAGAAAATTGTGTATACCAAGCACACCTTCTTCTGCTGCGATCACAGGCAAAGTGCACCAGATGCACGCGCGCCCAGGTTGACATGGGAAGAGGAGCAAGCAAATAGGTGGAAGATGCGCAAGGAACTGTTCCCCGACCTCAAGGATGATACAGTAATTCTCGGTAACTTTAATCAGCTGTACAAGGTATGTCTGCAAAGCGCATTGAACCAAAACATAACATGAGTAAACTAACAATGGAGCTACTAGATCGAACCAACAACGTTCCGTACATGGCTAAGGATTTTAGCCGGTATTCCTAATGCAATACTCTGGCTCCTCCGCTTCCCTGACGTTGGTGAGCACAATCTCCGACAAACAGCAAAAGCCTGGGCCGGCGAAGCAACTGCATCAAGGATCGTATTCACTGATGTTGCGCCAAAACACACACATATTTCCCGTGCTCGCATCTGCGATCTTTTCTTGGACACGCCAGAATGTAATGCTCACACCACCGCGGCTGACGTCCTTTGGAGTGGCACACCACTCCTCACGTTTCCACGGTACAAATACAAGATGTGCTCTCGCATGGCATCTAGTATTCTAACAAGTGCGCTTCCGCAGACGGAAGATGGAAAACAAGCTGCGAGACAGTTGATTTCTTCAGATGAGGTTGAATATGAAAAAACTGCAATTGAACTGGGTTTGGGGATGAAGTACGAACTTGGCAATAACCAAGGCAGTGCAAGGGGGCGATTGTTTGAACTTCGGAAAATGCTTTACTTGAATCGGTGGGAAAGTAAACTGTTTGATACCCGAAGATGGGTCAATGATTTGGAAGAGGCGTACGAGAAGGTTTGGGCGAACTGGGTTCAAGGAGAAGAGAAAGATATATGGCTATGATGGGTGTATCTTTCACGACTTATCTGTTTTGCTTCTGATTTCCCTTCCTTTTTTTTTTCTTTTTTCTTTGGATTTTAAATATTTTCCTCCTGTTTTTACCTTGATCACCCACTTTATAATTCCCCTTGCTGTTATTATCTGTTTGAGATGACCTGGAGCGATACCAAGTCGGCTTATCCACGCTTTCATGGGCAATTTCGCACTTTGTTGACCCTATGAGTGTTTTAATTATGCAATATTCCCGCCTTATTATGCCGTCCATGCGGGCTCCTGTGATATGACCATCATGTACTTGATTTTGATTTGTTTTCCCCTTTCTTCGATTTGATACCTCAACCGCCTTCGTAGCGAGTTGGCCCTCTGCATAGCGGAAATGTTTATTAGCACCTATGCCCGTCTTTGTTTCTCACTCGGCCATCATATACCAGTGATTTTATCTCCGCCCCTTTTCTAGATTTGTTTGGGCTTGTTTCCGGCGATCTTACCTCTAGCAAAATATACCACCACAGCACCGTTGACCGTTGACTGTTGACTGCTACTTCACCTTTTCTCTCCTTTGACCTGTATAAAACATCCACTGTTGGTTAATAACTTCAGATCCTCTTGTCTGCATTGCCTTTGACTTGAGAGGGACAGCGCTATGTCACTTCAAGGGGCCGATCATTAGTTGTCCCTCCTGTGTATTATCACATACCAATTTTCACATCACATGAAGCTATCGTCTGCATGGTCTATCTAACCCATGGACAATGCGCGATGGCATCAATGCATACATACAAGGTGTATCCTCTTCCGTAGAAGTAGCTGTTACCAGTTGATACTGCAAAAAATTAAAGGAACATGCGCTTCGGCAATGTAGAATTCGAGACGCTCATCACCAGCTTAGTTCGGCTATATTTTGTCAACTAAGATCTCAATATCAACAACGTCGTTATGCACTAATGCCCTATCGCGGTAAGAAACAAGATAACGTCCACGCGTTCAAGCATCCGCTTGCTTGCGTGGTCCCATTCTCGCACTCGCTGTATGTACGAGGACCCGGCTGACCAAAACCTGGTCGATGAGTGGTTGAATAGAAATTCTCAATTATAATACCGTCCATCCCCATGACGTTTCGATGACATGGTGCAACGCCTGCATATCCCGTTGTTTTTCGCGGCAGCGGCTCGGGCACACAGGGTACGTAGCTCCTTTGTCTCACAGCTCTTTATCCAACAGACGGGACAGTATACATGTGGTGTAGAAGGCCTGGTAACCTATGGCATAAGTTCGTCTTGGATTTGCAAAGGACGCACACGGATCACCAAACAGGAAAATGCCATGGCTGTCCCCTCTGCATATCTTATAACTGGCATGCGATGAAAGGGGTATATGTTACATTGATCATCTGAGCCCGGCTGTCGTACCCAGAAAGAGGTATATCCAACGTTCTCGTTCTACTCATGCAACGGCGGAAGAACAAACAGGCGATATGAGAGACAGCTGGCCCTTACGCCCGAATAAAGCCCTTTTTTTTTCCCCCTTTGGCGGAGGGGGGGAGGGGTTTGCTGATTGATAACAGGCTAAGTAGTTGGCGCGAGTGGATGTCGTGGTGTGTTAGATCGCGCTTTCACACCACTAATACGGCTGAACTGACCTGAACAAATAACTATGTCTTGCATATGAATACGTCCAAGGGTATTCCTGGAAGTTGATTCGCTTGTTAGTTGGGGTCCTTCGTCTAACGTCATTGGCGCCGTAGTTCTCCGTCCCCATCTCCGTTACGTTGTAGCCATCACGCACGAAAGGCAGACTGGCACTATCCGACTTTTCGCTATGCTTCCAACTTTAACCCAGCGTCCTTTTAAAGGTGGCTAGGGCGTTCTCCAGCGTGTTGCCTCCCGAGAAAGGACGCACGACTCCGTACAGGTCAGCTCCCCTGGGCATTGCGCCAGCGAACGAAACTGGAATGGAGAAATTTGGAACGGGCATGGTGTTTTATTTCGGGCAAAACACCCTGGCACTGCCTGCATGAAGAAAGAAAAAAAGGGCTGAAGGCAAATCCACCGAGGAGTGGAATGTACCGGCCAAACGTTCTAGAACTGGGCCAAGGTGTGAATGAACGAACTGGTTGCATGGCTGACAGCATTATGACAAGCAATTCGAAAATTCCCGGAGAACAAACAAGTCAGGAGATGGCCGGGTGAAAGGACATCCAGCTCTCGCTTCCTCTTATTCTTCCTTGGTCTGGGGTATCTGGCAAGTTAACCAATGGACATGCGATTCAAGGATTGATTGAACATTGCATTGAATTGGATTACAATGAGTAATCCTTTGACTTCCTTGGTTGCGACCAGTAACTAGTTAACTAGCAAGACATAAGGTGGTAAGGTGGCCATCAGGATTCTTGCAGACACACAAGTTGAAGAGTCACCACATCCCTCAATGATTGGATATTGGGGTCTCTAATATGGACTGAACCCATTAGGGATAGCATGTTATTCTCAAGATGTGTTTCTTTGCCATTTTTGCCGGGTGATTGGTGGCCCAGTCACTCAGCCACGCCCTTTGGGAAATCGCCTCGTAATAAACGGCGAAATGGTGTGTTCTCCGTATGTGAATAGAATATCCCAGCTCTCGCCGTTTCAAAGTACCGAGCAGCAGGTAGTTAACGTGATGGAGCTAGATTCAGGGGTGATTGATCATTTCATCAATAATCCTAAAAAAAAAAAAAAAAAAAAAAAAAGGGACTAAAAAAAAGGAAGAGGAGGAAGAAGAACTAGAACTGAGAGGGCAGGCTTCCCATGTCCCAAAGCCTCCATTCTCCATCGCTAACGCCGTAACGAAGTGATAGTGCGGCTTCGGGGGAGGCATCCGGGTGGCGAACGCTCAAAGACGGATGTGATATGACGTCTTTCACCTTCTCAGCCGAGAAAACGGAGTGGAAGGAGTTTTCCATAGCTCAAAGTTACTAGGCTCGAGCATGGGGCCGACCTGACGAGTTTATGTGGCTTGCTTCAAAAAGTCACATCCTTCGTTCGGCGTAAACCACGGCTGGACGTGAAGCAACTGGCGGGAAAGGAGGAAGCCCCAGAATTCGATTTGAGAAACCGAGGGAACGGAAAACACAGATCCTAGTGCGATCTAAGGGTTGGAAGAAGAGGAAGATGGAGGGTGTCAGCCAACTGCCTCATCCTTGTTATTCGCTTACCATTGGACGTTGACTAGTTATTTGATATCACAGCCAACTGTGGAGCTGGGATGAATCCGTGAATCCCCATAAACCCATCCGCTGTCCCAAATTTATAATTTTATTTAGTGATCTCTTCGTACTATCTACGTTGCTTCGTCTTACCCCGTGAGTATTACTAACACCGGGGCTTCAACTCATTCGCCCCTTACAGCGTGAAAAAACAAAGAGGGACTGAATAATGGACTTATTGGCTTCAAGTTTGAACTGGCAAAAAGCTCGGCCAACTAAAGAAAAGGCGAGGAAACACCCGGTCAAGAGCAAAGACCCAGTATAAACACAAATCAAATATGGAATTTAGTCTTTAGGGTCCATCAAGAGCGGGGGGGACTGGAAAGCCGTTTCCCCCGTGGGATCAAAGATTGACTGTGCTTTCTGCTAATCCCCTGGAGAACGGATCAAGTGGTATCGAGCCTTGAATATCCCGTCAATCGGGGATATCCCATCATCGGACTTTGGTGGTACGGAAGAGTTCATTACTAATTCGAACTTGGGGAGCGCAGGAGGGCTCAAGTGACTATCGGGTTCAACGTGAGACATGGACAGGGCCAGGAAGATGATCACGGCTGAGCAATGAAACAAAACAGAAACCAAGCCAGTTCCTGCCCCTGATCTTGCTGCTGTGTAGTTAGTGCTCTAGGTTCAGACCACAGGATAAGAATGACCCATATGATGGGCGTGATCAGGTGTGTATATCTCTGACGGCAATAGAAGCAGATCTCGTCCCGTTAGCATCTTGCATCTGGGCAGGATATGCTGCTTTCTGGTACTTGGCTTCTCTTAAAGGGCGCTGTTTAGTCAATAAACAGTGCAGTTGTAACTTTCCCGTTTCCAACTTCTCTCTTGGGATGACATAGCCGGTTCCTATGGGGCCATGATTGATATCAGTGGGGCATTGAAGGCACCTCTAGAGTATTTGGGATTAGGCAGATGTATGTGTATGACTAGAGGCATCGATATAATACACATATAAACATGAGAGGGCTTGATGAAGTTTGTATGCTTGTTGACAGCGATGATTGGATGCCACTTTCCGCGTGCTTTTGGAATTGTGCAACGTCCTCTTCCTTGTCTTCCATCACCTTGTTGTTTCTGTAGCTCTCTGGTCCCGTCATGGAATAAAAAGAAGCTGATAACTCTGTTGCCAACTAACTGTATGTAGGTTCAAATGCCGGGTGACATCGGAAACTAGAATTGTCCAGCTGGCCGAGGAAAGCATCGGGATCGAGCCGAAAGTAGATGTTGAATCAGATAAAACGTCTAATACGGAGGTTTCTAAGAGCCAAACATGACATGTAGAAAAGTACATTCATTGCATGAACGTACGTTTAATCCTCCACCAATTGGCTACATCTGACGGAATGGTTTCACAGTGTTGAGCGCATATTCGCCTCTCGTGTGCCCCCCGTAGGAGGGAGAATAAGGGAAAGGTGTGGTTGACGTTTCCAATCAGCTGTGCTTGAGTTCTTTTTGACGGTGTCACCGGCCGCCACCCAGAGATTAAACCAGAACGACTAACATGCAGGATATCCTAACCAAGGACCCTGGTTGGAAATATTTAAACCAGTGTGATGGGATATGCTGGTACCTGCCTTGGCCCGGCAGATCTGATCAGGTTTAGCCGAGCATGAAAAGGAGAACGAACATCTGCATTTCCTAGGTCAATCGCACATGCCCTCGTATCTCCTCAGTAATTCTGCACGTCATACGTGTGCAAAGAGACGTTGCATTCAGATTGTTGGCAGCAGTCAACTGTGGGCTTTAGTTTAACTACAATGGCCAGCTAAGGTAGAAAATTTGTTTCTGTGGTTGAATGAATGTTGGACGTGGTTGGCATAAATTCCTGTACAACATCGATTCCGCCATCACTGAAGCAACAGACATTCCAGGCCTAATCTAGTAGCTCTTCAGGCATATGCTTTGCATGAAGTAAAGCCGCGGAGGGGGTGGGATCGATCTCCCAGTTACTCCCGCCATCCATAATGCTGGTAGCTTCATGGTAAGTTGTCTCACTTCAAGACTCGGCTGCAGGGAACAGCTAATGCTTCACCTTCAACATTCCCAACAAGTCTCAACAATAATAGAAATTATTAGTGCTGTTAGCCTTGAGATACAGGTATGAAACTCGTGTTCAGCTGAAAGGGCACAAGCGAGAGAAAGGGGAATACATGGAGCATTATCATCAATAGCAAACTGAGATCCTACCGATGTTATATACTCATACCTCGTACGTTCCTTGCTGATGGGACTGACAATGTGACGAGTACCAAAGAGTAGGTGAATGTTGATGAATCTCACCCAGCTGGCTGGGTCCCAGCGCCCAATTAATTAATCTAATTTAATCAGATTCAATATTGCTTTGATCCATGACAATAAGTGATGCACCTCAAAATTGAGAAAAGGCAAAGAAGGGAAGAAGGAAAGGGTTGGGCCAGGATGTAATTGGTTACCAATAAAAGCTGGCCTTCCCGGTCGGGCAATATGCATCCGTTGATGTGCGATGGCAAGTTACTTACAAGGAGAACCCATTTTCACATTGTACGGGGCTGGGGTCTTTTTGACTCTCGGAAGTGGCATATATCTGGTTCCTTTGGGTGTTTCAGTAATGAAATGCTCGAGGGTTTCGTATGCCTTGTGCTCGGCTGAACTGCGCTGAAGAAATCGTTTATAATCCAGCCGGCTACGGTAGCTTTCGCGAGCAAGGAAAACGAATTGAGCAGTCAGATGGAATATTCAATGCACTGGCGGAAAAGCTAACATGGATTTACCTATTTGAAAATCGAATATACCCACACAGTGTCTCCCTTTCTCCCCCCTTTTCTCCCCCCTTCCCCCAGCTTGCTTAAGCTCTAACACATGACCACTCTCCACAACCAACCTTTGACATGCCTGTTTTGTCACGAAAATAAAAGAAAAGAAAGAAGGGAAGAAGACTGGAGGAATGGCGCAGACTCCACCAGCGAGGCTTCTGGAGCATCCATGCATGATGTTCTGGATGGTCTGGAGATCCATACTTCGTACATGAACTCGAATTCAAGGGGAGATCTTGAGCGATCTAAGCGTATACCTAGTCAACGCAGAGAAGAGCTGCTGATCTGACCCTGTATGATGAGGAAAGGCACGGAGAATACTCCGTACAAAGCGATGTTAAACTGCATCTGGTAGTTGTTAGCATTATTGAATGGTATACGGGTGAGCTCCATAAAAACCCAGACATCGAGGGTAAGCGCCAATGAGACGGGTAACTTCTCCACCATGAGAAGGGCAGCCTCCATCAGACTATTTCTCTTATCCTCCGTATACGTATAAAAATATAAATATAGATTCGAATGGAGCAACTCGCCCCATGAGATACGAGGCGGTTAGGCTCTCCGTGATGACATACATTTGTCTAGAGCATGTATAACATCCACGCTGGCGTTGTCTTTGTGGAAGACACCATACTCCGACTGGCACTACGGTCGAAACGATGTAACGTTCAGCTGTGGATCTTGTCGATCTCGATAACGGCTCCTTAAGCGAGGATCCAGCGCACGGCGATCGTACAGGCATCAACGCCACTGCAGGGATTCTGCTGTTGTCGTTCTCCTGCGGTGTTCGCCAGCGAGATGTGCATTCTCGTGCGTTTGAACTGTGTGGAAGTCGAGGAAGCCAAAGACGAAGACGGAGACGAGAAGAATAGAAAAAGAAGAAAAGAAGAGACGACGTCGAAAAAAGAAAAGGGCACTTATCCCGATCGGGATATCGCCAAGCCATTAACCGGTTCGGGAAGGATAATATTAGTCATGAATATGCTTAGTAAGGAATTAAGTAAGTAGAAGTCGTCCCGAAGTGTCTGCGGGGCGGGAGAAAAGCAGGACGGGAGTTATTATAACAACTACTTAATATTAATACCTATTGGACCTCAAGGGGACAATGGGAGCGAGGGCGACAGCGGCAATGCTGGCCAAAAGGAGGACGAGACGAAGGATGGGAAGGACCAGACTGCAGACTCTGGCGACCGACAGCGAATATGCAGCAGCAGGGAAGGCTCGTGAACCAAGAGCGTTCCAGTCACCCTTGTGCAGGAACACTCCTCGGTGCCGAATGCCCACAGAGCCATGTCCTGGGGACAGGAGCATTAAAACTGACGATATCCCTCAGGCTGGTGCGCCCGGCACAGGCCGAAATGGCACCAAGAAGAACGTTGCCGTTAGTCAAGGGCGGATGATGGTTCGGAGCTTAATATCGCCCATCATCCCCAGATGGCGGACCAACCACCGCCGCTATACATGCCGTTTATCGGGCGAGTCGCCAGCCCCAGAGATATACAACCTTGTCCTGGCATATATAACGACCAGGCACCGGGGACCAGGTAGGAACGCAGTTCAGCGATGCAAAGAACGCTGTAACGAGGTCGATCTTATCTTCTAGCCAGAAGGGAAAAGACTGGGAAAAAAAAAAACAGGAGGTCCATGCTATTAATTGATGTATACTTAAGTCCCAAAAGAAGAAAAGAGAAGTGCGGGATATTATGTACGTGCGTTCTTTGAAACTTCTTTTCGTCTTCCCTTTTCCCCGTCTGCCCCTGACCCTGTCCGGTATATTACTTATCATTATATACTGACGACTGATTCCAGAGGTATACGCTCCAAGGAAAAGAGAGCTGCAAAAAATTATAATAATATAATACTAAGCATGGCGTGGAATTGCCTTGTCGCCCTCGTGTCTTGACGGCCAGACCATGAATGCTTAACTTAAGATGTTTTAAGCAGTCTTAGTTATACACTATACATCGCGGATGCCCACCCTGGCTATCCGATTATGGAGCCCCCATTGGATCGAAACAGGAATGTCAGAACGACCAGCACAATAATGCAAAAATAAAAGCTCCATGATTCCGGATTGAGATAGGCTATTGAAATGGGGAGCAGATTAGTTGAAACATGACAAACAAACCTCCCGCATCCAATCAATAGCCTCGTCGCCTTCTCCAGTTGCAAGTTGCAACGACACACAGGACAGGGCGGATGCAGGAGCTTAGACCTTTGGGGAACTCGACTCCGACCTCAGGTCTCCAACCCGTCTGCACAGCCCTTTCCGACTTTTCGTCTCTTTTCCTTTTTTAAATATTAACGTCTATTATTATTATCATTAATCAATTTCCACCCTTTGGCCCGTTCGACTTCTTCATGGCATGGCCCGTCGAGATACGTGAATGACTCCATAGAAGAGCCACCGGTCGGCCTATGACTAAAAAGAACTAGTTGCTGGTTTCGCGAACTCGCGCCCCGATTCACCTGATTTGGCAGTATTGCCTGCCAAGGAATAGAGTTTCCTCAACGACCTCACTGTTGATTACATGCATCTTGTGTCAGTCGCTTGGCTTTGGAGATCTGAGCATCGCAAAATTTCAATCCAGTCTGGCAACTGTTGTTGTACTGTTGTACACTTCAGCATCCGCGGGCCCTCCCCCCCCCCCCACCCCCCATATTCACGAGCAGAGACAGGACCAGATCAATTATTTTAACGTTTTCAGTTGAGTCGAGTTGTGAATGCCGCCTACGCCCGCGAAGGTTGAGCGTTCGTTGAAATATCTCGTTTGGGGGGGTCATTATGTTATGAATATGCAGGGGGCAAGAAGGGGCAGGTTCTGGGGCGCATAATGCATGCTAATATCCGTTCGTGATATTGTTTATTTGTCAAAATATGCATCTCTCCTCGAACATCTTTGTCCTCGTGGCCATGCATGACGCTGACAGAGACCCAGTTTTCGGCTTTTATCTTTTTGTTTTGTTTTTTTCCCGCATTCCATACTCAGCGCTCCGTCTACGTCACGGGCTTAGATGTCAGCCTTGCCAGGTGAATACTGCAGATGCAAAATGGGCTCTCTCTTTACTTCTGCTAGCGTCCCCTACGTCTAGCTTCTTTGTGGATTACTTATCGCGTTTGAAGTAAATTATTCAACGTCCCACTGCCATTGGCCCACAGGTCGGTTCCCCGATATCGTCGCTCTCATATTAAGATGGCCAGGGCTCGGAACCAGTCAATTGGACAGGCTAGGTAAATCTACGGCCCGGAGAATGAAACGATTGTTACTAGCAGATTACTGGACTGAACCAACCCTGCCGACCACAGCTTCTTTTTTCTACTATTTTTCTTTTCTTTTTCTTCCTTTCTTTTTCTTTTTTTTTTTTTCTTTTTTGTTTTGACCTTCCTCCCTTGCCATATTTTCTCTTCACCTGTATGCTGGCGGGAGTCCCAATCGGTTGGGAGCAGAACCAATACAGCCGTTCTATTATCAGTAGGGGTCAAGACATATAGGCCGACTCCGTGCTGATGGATTCTTGATTTCAACTGATACTAATCAAACGCGGGTTTAAGGTAAGATTAGTGCAACGGCCTGGAGAAAAGGAACTCCCCCCACTGGCTGGTCCTCGGCTGCTTTTCTCTGGCGCTGAGTAGTCGTTCAGGAGCAGGTCTGTTACACAGATGCCCGTTCCATGCAAGCGTCTCCCATCATGTATACAGTACGGCCTCGGGCCTCTGGCATGCATGGAGTTTGCGCTGGCAGCCTGGTACTCGATACAAGCAAACTGTTACCTGTTACTACGGGCCAGTTAAAACGAATTTCCTAATTAGGATATTGAAGAGTCTCTTGCGAGGAAGAAGCAAATATACAACGCTTTTTGCTTCTTCTGCTCGTCGAACTGGCTCTGTCACTGCTCTCTCTGTCCTTTTTTGGTTTTATTTTAATCTTTCTACCTTTTTTTGGTTATCTTTTTTTTTTTTTTTTTCAGTCTTTTTTTTTTTTTGGCCTGCCCCGTACATGGACATACGGAGCATTTACAACTTACAAACGCCCAAAGGAGGAACGTGTTTAACTCACAGACGGCCGAGCAAACGGCCGAGCTGCGATCGCGACAAATAGTCTGTGTTGTTTGAGCGGTAGCGGGCGTTCCAGCGCTTCCTCACGCCTACGTTACAGACAGGCGAGCGGTTCGGCAGAGGTGGTCCCCCCTATCCGGTTGCCGGTAGCTCACCCTACAGCACAAGCAAAGCTCCATGCATTCTTCCAGTTACCGCTGCGACGGAGTTCGCGGCGGAAGAGCGCAATGTTGTGCATTGTTTGCGATAACCGGTGTCCCGTCAGGACGTCTCTTCCCATACTCTGTTACCAAATACCTGGACGCTGGACTATGGGAAGCAGGCCGTACAACAGACCCAAGGCTGCAGTGACGCCAACAAATGATTGACAGGACAGCTATAACTATATTAAAAAAAAAAAAAGTACGCTGTACCAAACGTTCGTGGACGCACTGCCCACGCCTTGCTGATGCCGACTAAAAGAACTTTCGCTCTTGGGGGATGGCGTATGAATGGGCGTTGGAAGCGCCACAAGCCAGATTCCAGAGCCAGGAAAAAGCCAACGAAAGGGTGAGTGAGAGAGCCAATGCCAAAAAGCAATATTTTTCTTCTGTTTCTTCTTTCTCTCTCTCTCTTTTTTTTATTCACAAACGAAACCCTATCTGTCGGAGTGTCCGATGAAAGAAAATTCGAACTATTTGATTCAAACTACTGGTCCTTTCATGCTGTCTTCCCCCCCTAAAGCATGCAACGACCGGCGCCAGAGCCAGCGCCATTCGCGCGCTCGCGGGGGATTGAGGGTTATGGGAAACGGAGCGAGGTTGATCATCTCATGCTTCCAGCTCCATCCCCTTTCGCTTAGATGGCGAAAAAAGAGCGCCCATTGTGCTGCTGACGGGCGCGGAGATGGTTACCCTTCCATACATAGTATGGAAAGACTAAGTGCAAATGCAGTAAGATTGGATAACTGGTAGTTGTTCGAGTAAACAGGACTAAGTGATACTTATGTTGCATGATTGTTGTCACTGTCCGCTTTCAGCCCATGACATGTCGATACCAATGCCCATCTTATCCCCTAGGTCACTTGGATGTAACGATGATTAGAAGGAGCCGAAAAAACGAATGCTTTTTCTTCGGAGAATTTGGTCATATTCGTCCTTGCGGTCTTTTTTTTCTCCCTTGACCTCCCTTTTTCTCCCTTGCGTCTCCTTTCTTCTGGCTCGCAATCTCGTATTATCGTTGATCCCCACTAGAGCGTTCTGCCTGACGCCCCCCGGGATGGACGATATGCATGGAGTATATCGATCTCTGGCCGTCCTATCTGCCTGCCTGTCCTGTGTGTCTGCATGATGCCAGCCCGCCCAGCTTCGCTTAGGAGGGAATTTTGCCTCCCTTTCTTGCCTTCATTGACATTCACCACTAGACAATGGCTGAAGAAGAACCGAGGATCAATGTCCTATCTTTCGCGATATCACAAGTAGAGGAGAAGGAAGCAGAGCTTAACGGCTTTCCCTCGCGGTACTCTCCTCCACTCCTTCTGGTTCGTTATGCACACTCCGTACAGGATGGCCTTTTTTCACACCCCTTTGTATTTTTGTAAATTATTTCGAATCTGATGGCTGAATTTCTTTTGTTGAGATCTGGTCTTTCTTGTTTCTTTCTTTATTTCTGGTTTACTTTTTCTTTTTTGCTTTCTACGTCGTCTTGAAGTTCGACTTTCACTGAAGTAAATAACCCTACTACCTTGTCAATCATCTTCAGAGCTGCGGTGTATCTTGACAGGGTTCTACCCGAGAGCAGCATCGACAAGGCAAGAGATAGACCCTTTCCCCCTTAAATTCCGTAAAAAGTATTGGCTCGGCAGAAAGAGAATGTATGCTCTGCGTATATCCATCAGATCCATCCCGTCTTTAACGGACGATGCTCAGTTGTGCATGCATGGATTCACAATCATACATGATTCCATCTCTGCCTTGGAAGGGGCTGAACACTAGCCCGTGGCGCACCCTCCATGGGATGGAGAAACGTCCGTTGAAATGGGATGATCGGAGGTAAAAGAAAAGCAAAGAGAGGACACATGCGTCCAACGACTTTCTCTGTCGAGCTCTTTGCTCTTTGCCTCTTGTAAATGAATTATTATTCGATATACTCCGTCAAAAGGAAAAAAGACAGGCCTGCTAGTCGTTGCCCTG